AGGTAGCCATTTGATTAGCTGTTCTGGAGTGTTATGGCTTGAGGGTAGAAGCTGTAAAGAAGCTTTTTGGACCTAGACTTGGCTCTTCGGTACCGCTTACCGTGTGGTAGCAGAAAGAACAGTCTATGACTGGGGTGGCTGGAGTCTTTGGCAATTTTTAGGGCCTTCCTCTGACACCGCCTGGTATAGAGGTCCTGGATGGCAGGAAGCTTGGCCCCAGTGATGTACTGGGCCGTACGCACTACCCTCTGTAGTGCCTTGCGGTCGGAGGCCGAGCAGTTGCCATACCAGGCGGTGATGCAACCAGTCAGGATGCTCTCGATGGTGCAGCTGTATAACTTTATGAGGATCTGAGGACCCATGCCAAATCTTTTCAGTCTCCTGAGTGGGAATAGGCTTTGTCATGCCCTCTTCACGACTGTCTTGGTGTGTTTGGACCATGATAGTTTGTTGGGGATGTGGACACCAAGGAACTTGATGCTCTCAACCTGCTCCACTACAGCCCCGTCGATGAGAATGGGGGCGTACTCGGTCCTCCTTTCCCTGTAGCCAACAATCATCTCCTTGGTCTCGATCACGTTGAGGGAGAGGTTGTTATCCTGGCACCACACGGCCAGGTCTCTGACCTCCTCCCTATAGGCTGTCTCATCGTTGTCGGTGATCAGGCCTACCACTGTTGTGTCGTCGGCAAACTTAATGATGGTGTTGTAGTCGTGCCTGGCCATGCAGTCATGGGTGAACAGGGAGTACAGGAGGGGACTGAGCACGCTCCCCTGAGGGGCCCCTGTGTTGAGGATCAGCGTGGCAGATGTGTTGTTACCTTCCCTTACCACCTGGGGGCGGCCCGTCAGGAAGTCCAGGATCCAGTTGCAAAGGGAGGTGTTTAGTCCCAGGGTCCTTAGCTTTGTGATGAGCTTTGAGGGCACTATGGTGTTGAACGCTGAGCTGTAGTCAATGAATAGCATTCTCACATAGGTGTTCCTTTTGTGCAGGTGGGAAAAGGCAGTGTGGAGTGCAATAGAGATTTAACATTTACATTTTAGTCATTTAGCAGACGCTCTTATCCAGAGCGACTTACAGTTAGTGAGTGCATACATAATTTTTTTATTTTTCATACTGGCCACCGTGGGAATCGAGCCCACAACCCTGGCGTTGCAAACGCCATGCTCTACCAACTGAGCTACATCCCTACATTTAATCATCTGTGGATCTGTTGGGGCGGTATGCAAATTGGAGTGGGTCTAGGATTTCTGGGATAGTGGTGTTGATGTGAGCCATGACCAGCCTTTCAAAGCACTTCATGGCTACAGATGTGAGTGCTACGGGTCGGTAGTCATTTAGGCAGGTTACCTTAGTGTTCTTGGGCACAGGGTCTATGGTGGTCTGCTTGAAACATGATGGTATTACAGACTCAGACAGGGAAAAGTTGAAATGTCAGTGAAGACACTTGCCAGTTGGTCAGCGCATGCTCGGAGTACATGTCCTGGTAATCCGTCTGGCCCTGCGGCCTTGTGAATGTTGACCTGTTTAAAGGTCTTACTCACATCAGCTACGGAGAGTGTGATCACACAGTCGTCCGAAACAGCTGATGCTCTCATGCGTGCTTCAGTGTTGCTTGCCTCGAAGCGAGCATAGAAGTAATTTAGCTCGTCTGGTAGGCTTGTGTCACTGGGCAGCTCGCGGCTCTGCATCCGTTTGTATTCCATAATAGTTTGCAAGCCCAGCCACATCCGACGAGCGTTGGAGCCGGTTTCCTACGATTCAATCTTAGTCCTGTATTGACTCTTTGCCTGTTTGATGGTTCGTTGGAGGGCATAGCAGGATTTCTTATAAGCTTCCGGGTTAGAGTCCCGCTCTTTGAAAGCGGCAGCTCTACCCTTTAGCTCAGTGCAGATATTGTCTGTAATCCATGGCTTCTGGTTGGGGTATGTACGTACCGTCACTGTGGGGACGATGTCATCGATGCACTTATTGATGAAGCCAGTGACTGATGTGGTGTACTCCTCCCTCAATGCTATCTGAAGAATCCCGGAACATATTCCAGTCTGTGCTAGTGGCTCAACAGGAGATCTAGATAATGAATGGTTTCATCTTCAACCGTCCTCTAAATGACAGTGCTGCTGTTGATAGGCTAAGCTTTTGTCAATCAATCATACGTTCAGACACACACACATATGGATGCACACACACACACACACACACACACACACACACACACATGGATGTACACACACATATTGATGGAGAGCCTGTCTCTGCCAGGCTAGTAGTTTATCTCAAAGTTGCAAATTAGTTATTCTCTATTCTCATCAATTCTTGCGTCCCAAATTGCACCCTGTACATTTTTTGAGTGCACTAGTTGTGACCAATGCCCATAGGGGTCTCTGGTCAAAAGTAGTACACTATATAGGGAATAGGGTGCCATTTGGGACCTCTGGTCTGGGATATTCATCTTCCTTCAACGTCTGTCTCATGACAACCCTTAGACACTTATCACTTTACATTTTAATATAAAGGGCATAACTGCTTAATGGTATGGCAAATATTACCCAGCCCCGCCCTTCTCCTAACTTTATATTTATCATAACCATCTTTATGTGGGTATAGTTAGTCTTGGACGTCGCCATTTGTCATACTTTGTCATACTTTTGTCATAATTTGTCATACTTCATGTGTAGGACACAGTAGTAATGGCTGTGACCATCATGGCATTTTGGATGACGGTAACTGACCAAAAATAAATATATATATATATATATATATATTTTAGAAAAACATTTTCTCCTCTCCTCCACTCTTGTCTGCATGTGCTGCCATAGAAATAGAATGGATAGAGGGGGCGTCCCCATTCAAGTCAATGATGGCATAATGTGTGGACTGACAGCTATTGCGAGTGTAGCCATAGGAGCAAAGCAGGAAGTAAAATACCTGTTATTGAGTCGTGTGAATAGTGTGGGCTAATGCAGACCGTTGTTTTCCATTGAAAAGGCAGACAGTCCAAGGGCACGGGCACAACACACCTCTCAAAAGATTATTCTTGGCCTCTGTGCTTATTGCTTTTCACGCTATTATGAAGAGAGCCTTTCTATTCAGCTGTTCCCCGACTACTTTGGCCTCAGTCCATTGTGACGTACTGTATAGCCTCTTATGGCCGGTGCTGAGTCAGCAATACTCACAATGCCCTGCATGGCTTCCATTGTATCCTCACACATAGCCAGTGATTGAAGTCTGATTGAAGTAAACAGTAAAAGAGCATTTAATGTGTCCTCTCTCACTGCTAGCTAGGCTAAAGATACCCATATTAAGACAAGTCATTATTGGTCCCTTAGTTTAGAACTCTTCCTCATTTATGCAAAGAGTTCTGGGATGTTTGAACCGTCTTGTCTTAACTTTGTTATCTTCAATCTAGACTGCTAGGGCATAGGTAGGAAGGTAGAGGACACAGGAAGTAGGAAGGTAGAGGAGACAGGAGGTAGGAAGGTAGAGGAGACAGGAGGTAGGAAGGTAGAGGAGACAGGGGGTAGGAAGGTAGAGGAGACAGGAGGTAGGAAGGTAGAGGAGACAGGAGGTAGGAAGGTAGAGGAGACAGGGGGTAGGAAGGTAGAGGAGAAAGGAGGTAGGAAGGTAGAGGAGACAGGAAGTAGGAAGGTAGAGGAGACAGGAAGTAGGAAGGTAGAGGAGACAGGAGGTAGGAAGGTAGAGGAGACAGGAGGTAGGAAGGTAGAGGAGACAGGAGGTAGGAAGGTAGAGGAGCAGGAGTAGGAAGGTTTGAGAGAACAGGCAGTAGGAAGGTAGAGGAGACAGGAGGTTAGGAAGGTAGAGGAGTACAGGAGTAGGAAGGTAAAGGACTGAACAGGAGGTAGGAAGGTAGAGGAGACATGAGGTATGAATAGGTAGAGGTAGACAGGAAGGTAGAGGAGACGGGTTGAAGTAGAGGAGACAGGAGGTAGAAGTAGAGGACAGGAGGTAGGAGGTATGGAGACAGGAGGTAGGAAGGTAGAGGAGACAGGAGTAGTGAAGGTAGAGGACATGAGTGTAGGAAGGTAGAGGAGACAGGAGGTAGGAAGGTAGAGGAGACAGTGAAGGTAAGGAAGGTAAGGAGGAGACAGGAGGTAGGAAGGTAGAGGAGACAGGAGGTAGGAAGGTAGAGAGACAGGAGAGTAGGAAGGTAGAGGAGACAGGATGTAGGAAGGTAGAGGAGACAGGAGTAGGAAGGTATAGGAGACAGGAGGTAGGAAGGTAGAGGAGACAGGAGGTAGGAAGGTAGAGGAGACAGGAGTAGGAAGGTAGAGGAGACAGGAGGTAGAAGGTAAGAGACAGAGTGTAGGAAGGTAGAGGAGACATGAGGTAGGAAGGTTAGGAGACAGAGGTAGGAAGGTAGAGGAGACAGGAGGTAGGAAGTAGAGGAGACAGGAGGTAGGAAGGTAGAGGAGACAGGAGGTAGATAAGGAACGAGTAGGTAGAGAGCGCGGTAGGTAGGTACAGGAGCAGGTAGTTAGGAAGGTAGAGGAGACGAGGTAGAAGGTAGAGGAGACAGGAGGTAGGAAGTAGAGGAGACAGGAGGTATGAAGGTAGAGGAGACAGAGGTAGGAAGGTAGAGGAGACAGGAGTAGGAAGGTAGAGGAGACAGGAGGTAGGAAGGTAGAGGCGACCAGGAGTAGGAAGGTGATGGAAGACAGGGGTAGGAAGGTAGGGAGACAGAGGTAGGAAGGTAGAGGAGACAGGGTAGGGTAGGGAAGGGTAGAGTAGAAGGACCTGAGGTAGGAAGGTAGAGGAGACAGGAGGTAGGAAAATAGAGGTGGCAGAGGCTGGTAGTGTTTTCATCTCAAGGTTGTGCGACCCTGAGATCAATGAAACTCACTGCACTAAGACATGCCATGCCATGCTTTCTTGGACCAGGGACTTCTTGCAATCACAATCAAATTAACTTGTATAAATGAAGGTTTAGTAAATAGCAATCAACCAATCAATTGATCAATCAACTAATCAATTAATCATAAATGTTCCCTCTCTTCCTCCCAGACCCGTCCAGGCTGCGGAACATGCACTGTTTCCCCAAGAGTTCCTCATCCATCTCCTGTTCCTGGACCTTCCCTGACTCCCAGTGGGACTCCTATACTGTGGAGGTAATGTAACGTCCCTCACAAACACACACACACACACACGCACACACGCACACGCACACACACACACACACACACACACACACACACACACACACCACACACACACACACGCACACACGCACACACGCACACACACACACAAACACACACGCACACACACACACACATTCTCTTCATGTCTTATCTTATCTTCTTATTATAACAATTGAGGTCAGGGTGTCTGATACCGTTTCTCCAACTTTACTGAAGGCAGTAGAATAGCCCGTACTGAAGAGCTCAGTGACTTTCAACGTGGCACCGTCATAGGATGCCACCTTTCCAACAAGTCAGTTCGTCACATTTCCACTTATTGTTAAGTGGAAAAGTCTAGGAGCAACAACAGCTCAGCCACGAAGTGGTAGGCTGCACAAGCTCACAGGACGGGACCGCCGAGAGCTGAAGCTCGTCTGTCCTCGGTTGCAAAACTCACTACCGAGTTCCAAACTGCATCTGGATGCAACGTCAGCACAATAACTTTTAGTTGGGAGCTTCGTGAAATGGATTTCCATGGCCGAGCAGCCGCACACAAGCCTAAGAACACCATGCGCAATGCCAAGCGTCGGCTGGAGTGGTGTAAAGCTCGCCGCCGTAGGACTCTGGAGCAGGGAAATGTATTCTCTGGAGTGATGAATTAGACTCTGTGCTTCCAACTTTGTGACAACAGTTTGGGGAAGGGACTTTCCTTTTTCAGCATGACAATGCCCCTGTGCACAAAGCGAGGTCCATACAGAAATGGTTTGTCGAGATCGGTGTGGAAGAACTTAACTGGCCTGCACAGAGCCCTGACCTCAACCCCATCGAACACCTTTGGGATGAATTGGAATGCTGACTGCGAGCAAGGCCTAATCGCCCAACATCAGTGCCCGACCTCACTAATCCTCTTGTGGCTGAATGGAATCAAGTCCCCTCAGCAATGTTCCAACATCTACTGGAAAGCCTTCCCAGAAGAGTGGAGGCTGTCATAGCAGCAAACTCCATATTAAGTTAATGTTTAACAAGCAGTCCATTGCTCAACTAGTTCTGGAGTAAAACATGGAATAAACTACAGTAATCAGTTCTCAGTATGTTGAAAACATGGAGTGGACTTTAGTAATCAGTTCTCAGTATGTTGAAAACATGGAGTGGACAACAGTAATTAGTTCTCAGTATGTTGAAAAAATGGAGTGGACAACAGTAATCAGTTCTCAGTATGTTGAAAACATGGAGTGGACTTCAGTAATCAGTTCTCAGTATGTTGAAAACATGGAATGGGCTATGGTAATCCATTCTCAGTATGTTGAAAACATGGAGTGGATTCTAGTAATCAGTTCTCAGTATGTTGAAAACATGGAATGGACTTAAGTAATCAGTTCTCAGTATGTTGAAAACATGGAGTGGATTTACAGTAATCAGTTCTCAGTATGTTGAAAACATGGAGTGGACTTACAGTAATGTCCACTACCCTTCAGGTGCGTCAACAGGACAGCTGGGAGCTGGTGTATGCCCTACGTCTGGCCCGGGACAGTACCTTACTCAACCTGGAGAACCTTCAGCCTCACAGGAGATACAGCGTGGCTGTCAGAGTGGCCTCCGCTGGACTCAGCAGCCCTGCCGTGGAGGAGAACGTGGTCACCATGATCGACCGTGAGTAACTACCCGTACCACCGGAGTTGTATCATAGATCCCATCAAAGAGTAAAGTATATCTGCTGTAAGATCCAGACCCCACAATCACAATCACAATTGTAGCATCAAAAACAAACCAAGTGACCACATAGAACCATCACACCACATTAACAGGAAACAACATCAGGATGACACAACGGTTGGAGTGATTTAGCTGTCCCATCATGCACTGCCTGCTAACACGTGACCTGTTAAATGACATGTTCCAGCTACATGGGCAGTCTGATGGTCTAAGCTTGTATGAGTACCACTACTGTTTCTGTCAGTCCCTAACAGTAGTAGTGTTTCTGTCAGGTCCCTAACAGTAGTAGTGTTTCTGTCAGGTCCCTAACAGTAGTAGTGTTTCTGTCAGGTCCCTAACAGTAGTAGTGTTTCTGTCAGGTCCCTAACAGTAGTAGTGTTTCTGTCAGGTCCCTAACAGTAGTAGTGTTTCTGTCAGGTCCCTAACAGTAGTAGTGTTTCTGTCAGGTCCCTAACAGTAGTAGTGTTTCTTCAGTCCCTAACAGTATATTTTCTGTCAGTCCCTAACGTAGTAGGTTTCCTGTTCAGTCCTACAGTATCGTTTCTCTGTCAGGTCCTACCATATAGTGTTCATGTCAGGTCCCTAACATAGTATGTCCTCTGTCAGTCCTAACGTAGTGTGTTTCCTCTCTAACAGTGTAGTGTTTCTGTCAGTCCCTAACATATACTGTTCTGCCAGGTCCCAACAGTAGTATGTTTCTTCAGGTCCCTAACATATAGTGTTCTGTCAGTCCCTAACAGTATATGTTCGTCAGTCCCTACAAGTATGTTTCTTCAGTCCCTAACATAGTAGTGTTTCTGTAGTCCTAACATATAGTGTTCGCAGTCCCAACAGTAATGTTTCTGTCAGGTCCCTAACTATAGTTTCTTGTCCTTAATGTCAGTAGTCCCTAACAGTCATATGTGTTTCTGTCAGTCCTAACCAGTATAGTGTTTCTGTCATGTCCTACAGTAGTAATGTTTGGCCTTTAGGTTTTCCCAACAGTATTGTCATTTTTGCAGGTCCTAACATAAGTGTTCTGCAGTCCTACAGTAGTAGTTTTTGTCAGGTCCCTACGTAGTAGTGTTTGTCTGTCAGTCCCTAACAGTAAGTAGTTTGTCTCGAAGTCCTAACAGTATAGTGTTTCGTCAGTCCCTAACATATAGGTTCTGTCGTCCTAACAAGTATGTTTCTGTCAGGTCCCTAACAGTAGTAGTGTTTCTGTCAGTCCCTAACATTTGTGTTCTAGTCACCTACCCCCAGACAAATGACACGTCTCCCAAACTGTCCTGCTTCACTGCAACGTTTGTTTCCTCTTAGCAGGATGCTGAGTCACAGACCACACACACACACACACACACACACACACCACCCACCACACACACACACACACACACACACACACACACACACACACACACACACACACACACACACACACACACACACACACACACAGACATCCCTCTCCTCCATCCTTAATGTCTTAATAGTCAGATAATCTATAGAACATCTCATTCATTATCTTCATTACTCCAGGACCCAGATCAATAGGGTTTGAACCTGCTCTGAGTAATATGATGCCTTGGCCTTTGGTTAAAAGATTTGGCATTTGGATTTAGCAAAGTGTTGGCATTTGTCTCAGTGTAGTTTTGAGTAAAGGCTAGTGAGTGTTTGCTCTTGATAAGTTCAACGTTAATGAGTTTAGACTCCACAGAAGTCTCTAACTTATAAGGTAACTACTTCAAATAGGGTGACTAGCTACTTCAAATATTTTTTTAGATTTTATGAAAACCTTGGTTTGAGATGAGAACTCATTTTAGAATGGTTTATCGTTCTACACGATTAAAGTCCTGTGGTAATCTTACTTGATCATCTGACAGATTTAAAGATGTAATTTTAGTTTACTTTCCATGCTGATGTACTGTGGGGCCTGGGTAAATGAACACAGGGGAAATTAGGTTGAAATATTGCTGGTGTTTCAATCAGGCGACTGTATCTACAGAAACGGACAGAACTTACTATTGACGAGAAAGTCACACAGTACTCTCTTATAGCTTTGTATTCCAGTTCTGTCAAAATGATTTATTGAAAAAGAAAGGGCTAGAGAGAGAGAGAGAGAGAGAGAGAGAGAGAGAGCGAGAGAGAGAGAAGAGAGAGAGAGATAGAGAGAGAGAGAGAGAGAGAGAGAGAGCGAGAGAGATCGAGTTAGAGATAGAGTAGCACGAGATCTGGAGCCACATCTCAACCCTTGTAAATACAACCCATATTTATGTTTATTTTTTTTCCCATTTGTACTTTAACTATTGCACATTGTTCACACTGTATATATACATAATGACATTTGAATGTCTTTATTCTTTTGGAACTTCTGAGTGTAATGTTTACTGTTACATATTTATTGTTTATTTCACTTTTGTTTACTATCTACTTCACTTGCTTTGGCAATGTTAACATACTTTCCCTATGCCAATAAGCCCTTAAATTTAGAAATGTCTAATCTTGGACTTTGAGTAGTTCTGTAAATAGTTAGTCGAACGTCTGGTTACAGATTACTTCAGCCAGAGCAGAGAGTAGAATCAGACGAGTGAGAAGCAGAGATAGAAGCCAGAATAGAAGCCGAGAGAAGCAGAAAATCCTAGAGGAGAGAGCCAGAGAGAGAAGCCAGAGAGAAGAAGCCAGAGAGAGAAGCCTAGAAGAGAAGCCTAGAAGCCGAGAGAAGCCAGAGTGAAGAGAGAGAACCAAGAGAAGAGAGCCAAGAGAGAGAAGCCAGAGAGAGAGAAGCCAGAGAGAAAAAGCCAGAGAGAGAAAGCCAGAGAAGAAGAAGCCAAGAGAGAGAGAGCCAAGCGAGAGAAGCCAGAGCAGAGAGGAAGCCAGAGGAGAGAAGCCAGAGAGAAGAAGCCAGAGAGAGAGCAGAGCCGAGAAGAAGCCAAGGAGAAGCCAGAGAGAGAGAAGCCAGAGAGAGAGAAGCCAGAGAGAGAGAAGCCAGAGAGAGAGAAGCCAGAGAGAGAGAAGCCAGAGAGAGAGAAGCCAGTAGAGAGAGAAGCCAGAGAGAGAGAAGCCAGAGAGAGAGAAGCCAGAGAAGAAGCCAAGAGAGAAAGCCATGAGAGAAGCCAGAGAGAGAAGCCAGTGCGAGAGAAGCCAGAGAGAGAAGCCAGAGAGAGAGAAGCCAGAGAGAGAAAAGCCAGAAAGAGAGAAGCCAGAGCAAGAGAAGCCAGAGAGAGAAGCCAGAGCGAGAGAAGCCAGAGAGAGAAGCCAGTGCGAGAGAAGCCAGAGAGAGAAGCCAGAGAGAGAGAAGCCAGAGAGAGAGAAGCCAGAGAGAGAGAAGCCAGAGAGAGAGAAGCCAGAGAGAGAGAAGCCAGAAAGAGAGAAGCCAGAGAGAGAGAAGCCAGAAAGAGAGAAACCAGAGAGAACCAGACAAAATAAAAACAAAAACAAAACCTTTCTGGTGCATTTGTTCCCTAATGTTCTAATATTATCAGATCATTTGGGCCAATGTGAACTTTGTGAAAACATTTTATTCAGAGAAAGAGGACAAAGTTAAAAAATGAGAACTATATTACAGTGAAACCTCAAGAATAAGGGATAGTGGATGATAGGCGAAGGAGAGGGCAGGGTGGGGTGAGGGAGTTGGATGACATTCAGATCTCATATTTACTGTCTAACCCCCTCCTCTCTCTCTGGCTGCTAGTTTGTATAGGAAATGACTTGGCCACCATCATCTGGCTGTCTTCAGCTTGACTCAGGATGATGCCAAAGATATGCCCTCTAGACCGGCCAAGTGCAAGCTACCAAGTGGTCAATGTCAGCTGCCAAATTGAATCAAAACCCAGTGATAAAACCAAAGACAAACATTAAAGTGAGAATGCCATTATCAAATGAGAGGGGAACGCTACAGTAGCTGGAACAGGTCCTGTAGTTTGTTCTGTCATCGCTCATACAACTGCACCAAAGTCCCCTCTATAAGACCTTGTCCCCCTATTCCCTAGAAGGCACATAGGGCACATAGGGTTCTGTAGGGCTCTGGTCAAAAGTAGTGCACTATATAGGGTATAGGGTGCCATTCCAGACACAGCCCCTGAGAGTGATTAGAACACTTCAAGAAGACATGAGGCAGGAAGACCTCTGATGTCATCTAAAGTGGACAGGAGCACGGGTGAATTCCATAGGGGAGCCATGTGGAAGCAAGACATCCCTGTTAGCGGGGTGCTAACTAGCCTGACTGTGGCTGTGCTGCCGCCCTCGGGAGCTACAGCCTCAGGAAGACATTTAAATAAAGATGTCCTCAAATAGCTCCAAACACCTGGGAGAGGGACAGAGAGAGAGAGAGAGAGAGAGAGAGAGAGAGAAGAAGAGAGAGAGAGAGAGAGAGAGAGAGAGAGAGAGAGAGGGGGGGGGAGAAGGAGGAAGGGAGAGAATGATGGAGAGGGATGAGAGCAGAAACGAGAGATAGAGAGCGGGATTTCGAGAAATAGGCTAGTCACCCTCTGCCTAGGGGGATGGAAATGCCAGAGATTTGTGTTGTTTGTTTGTTCTGGAGGGAGGGAGGACGACATTGTCATAACCAACAGAACATAATTAGATCAGTGGAGAAAGGTGCCATATTAACTCATAAAATCCTCCAGATGGCCTCTTTCACTCCTCTCTTTCTCACTCTCTCTACTCTCCTCCACCTCTCTCTCTCTCTCTCTCTCCTCTCTCTTCTCCTCTCTCTCTCTCTCTACCACCTCACTCTCTCCTCTCTCTCTCTCTCTCTCTCCTCCTCTCTTCTCACCTCGCTCTCTCTTCCTCTCTCTCTCTCTCTCTCTCTCTCTCTCTACCTCTACCCACCTCCCTCCGTCCTCCTCTCTCGTCTCTCTCTCTCCTCGCGTCCTCTCTCTCTCTCTCTCTCTCTCTCTCTCCCTCGTCTCTACTCTGCTCACCTCTCTCTCTCGTCTCTTCTCTCGTCCTCTCTCTCGGGGCATCTCTCCCCGTCTCCTCTTCCCCTCTCATCTCGGCTCTTCTCTCTTCCCCGCTCTCCTCGGCTCCTAGCTCGCTCTCTCTCTCACTCTCTCTCTCTCAGTCTCTCATCTGCTCTCTCTGACCGTCGTCGTCCTCTCTCGCGCCTCTCTTCTCTCTCTCTCTCCCCTCCCCCTCTCTGTAAGTGGACAGATTTACTAGGGCCATTTACAGTGTGGTTTTATTCGGGTTTCTATAAGGAGGCGATGAGCTGCTCTTTCACACTTCTGTCCAGAGCCCTGCTGTTTCAGTGTCTAACTGTGCAATGAGCCGAGCAGATACATACAGAGAGAGAGAGAGAGAGAGAGAGAGAGAGGAGAGAGAGAAGAGAGAGAGAGAGAGAGAGAGAGAGAGAGAGAGAGAGGAGAGAGAGAGAGAGAGAGAGAGAGAGAGAGAGAGAGAGCGAGAGAGAGAGAGATAGAGACAGAGAGACAGAGAGAGACAGAGACAGAGAGACAGAGAGGACAGAGACAGAGACATAGAGAGACATAGAGAGAGACCCTGTCAGGTGAAGCTTAAATAGAATCCAGAGACCACATGTAGTGGATGGGAAGAAATGGAAGCGATCCAATTACAATCTGTCTCACTGCTAATCAACCAAGGAAACAATATTACCTTGGCTGAGCTGGGTGAGATACAGAGATGCAGTGGCATACATACAAATACTGGATAAGAAGTAGGAGCGTGATTCTGGGTCGAAAAGGGGCCTATTGTCAAGTCAATTATTATTTGTCCCATAGCAGGGGAAATTGAGTTTGCAGTTTTGATAAGTAATGGAAATGATACAAGATACAGTGCATTAGGAAAGTAATCAGACCCCTTGATTTTTTCCACATTTCGTTACGTTACAGCCTTATTCTAAAATGGATTAAATAAAAAAAATTCCAAATCAATTTCCACACAATACCCCATCATGACAAAGTGAAAACAGGTTTTTAGACATTTTTGCAAATGTATTACAAATAAAAAACAGAAATACCTTATTTACATAAATATTCAGACCCTTGGCTATGAGACTCTAAATGCAGGTGCATCCTTGAAATGTTTCTACAACTTGATTGGAGTCCACCTGTGGTAAATTCAATTGATTGGACATGATTTGGAAAGGCGCACACCTGTCTATATACAGCCCCACAGTTGGCAATGCATGTCAGAGCAAAAACCAAGCCATGAGGTCGAAGGAATTGTCCGTAGAGCTCCGAGACAGGATTATGTCGAGAAACAGATCTAGGGAAGGGTACCACAACATTTCTGCAGCATTGAAGGTCCCAAAGAACACAGTTGCCTCCATCATTCTTAAATGGAAGAAGTTTGGAACCACAAGCTGGACGCCCGGCCAAACTGAGCAATCGGGGGAGAAGCGCCTTAGTCAGGGAGGTGACCAAGAACCCGATGGTCACTCTGACAGAGCTCCAGAGTTCATCTATGGAGATGGGAGAACCTTCCAGAAGGATAACCATCTCTGCAGCACACCACCAATCAGGCCTTTATGGTAGAGTAGCCAGACGGAAGCCACTCCTCAGTAAAAGGCACATGAAGGCCTGCTTGGAATTAGCCAAAAGGCACCTAAAGACTCTCAGACCATGAGAAACAAGATTCTCTGGTCTGATGAAACCAAGATTGAACTCTTTGGCCTGAATGCCTAGCGCCACGTCTGGAGAAAACCTGGCACCATCCCTACGGTGAAGCATGGTGGTGGCAGCATCATGCTGTGGGGATCTTTTTCAGTGGCAGGGACTGGGAGACTAGTCAGGATCGAGGGAAAGATGAACGGAGCAAAGTATAGAGAGATCCTTGATGAAAACCTTCTCCAGAGCGCTCAGGACCTCAGACTGTCGCAAAGGTTCACCTTCCAACAGGACAGCGACCCTAAGCACATAGCCAAGACAATGCAGGAGTGGCTTCGGGACAAATCTCTGAATGTCCGTGAGTGACCCAGCCAGAGCCCGGACTTGAACCCGATCTAACATCTCTGAAGAGACCTGAAAATAGCTGTGCAGCGACGCTCTCCATCCAACCTGACAGAGCTTGAGAGGATCTGCAGAGAAGAATGGGAGAAACTCCCCAAAAACTGATGTGCCAAGCTTGTAGGGTCATACCCAAGAAGTCTCGAGGCTGTAATCGCTGCCAAAGGTGCTTCAACAAAGTACTGAGTAAAGGGTCTGAATACTTATGTAAATGTGATATTTCAGGGTTTTACTTTTTATACATTTGAAGCAATTTCAAAAAACCTGTTTTTGATTCGTCATTATTGTCACGATCGTCTAAAACAGGAGACCAAGGCGCAGCGCGTTGAGTGAACATGATGACTTTAATTAGTAAAGCACGTCAATCCAAAACAAAAGACGACAGTGAAGTCCAATAGTGACTCTGACTAAACAGGACCAAAAACCCACAAACCCCACAGGAAAACATACAGAAATAAATATGGCTCCCAATCAGAGATAACGAGCCGACAGCTGACACTCGTTACCTCCGATTGGGAGTCATTGACCAAACCTAGAAATACAACACTTAGAAACACCCAACCAAACATAACAAAATACACCCTGGCTCAAATACAAAAGTCCCGGAGCCAGAGTGTCACAATTATGGGGTATTGTGTCTAGTTTGATGAGGGGAAAAAACAATTTAATCCATTTTAGAATAAGGCTGTAATGTAACAAAATGTGGAAAAAGTCAAGAGGTCTGAATACTTTCCCGAATGCACTGTATATGATACAAGAGGAGACACATGGCAGCATATTTCTAGAACAAGGATGGCCAACCCTCCCCTGCAGAGATACTGGGTGTGCTGGCTTACTCTTACCCATCTGATTCAGCCAATCAAAGTCTGGATTATTTTTTGACAGACACACCCTTGAACCAATCGCCTGTGTTATTTTCCCCCTCTAGGCCCGCCCCCTACCACAATACGGGTCAATGAGAGGGCGGTACGCATCACCCCCTCCACCATCTTCTTCAAGTTCAACTGCAGCTGGTTCAATGACGTCAACGGAGCAGTCAGGTTCTTCACTGTCATCGTGGCTGAGTCCAATGGTAAAACATCCTCTTTCTTTACAGCTTCATACAACTGTCCTTTCTTACTAAACTACACTACTGGTCAAACGTTTTAGAACACCTACTCATTCAAGGGTTTTTCTTTATTTTTACTGGGGCGGCAGGTAGCTTAGTGGTTAAGAACGTTGTGCCAGTAACCGAAAGGTCGCGGGTTCTAATCCCAGAGCCGACTAGGTGAAAAATCTGTCGATGTGCCCTTAAGCAAGGCACTTAACCCTAATTGCTCTTGTAAGTCGCTCTGGATAAGAGCGTCTGCTAAATGACCAATTTTTTTTATTTTTTTATTACTATTTCCTACATTGTAGAATAATAGTGAAGACATCAAAACTATTAAATAATATATATGGAATCATGTAGTAACCAAAAAAGTGTTAAACAAATGAAATATATTTTATATTTGAGATTCTTCAAATAGCCACCCTTTGCCTTGATGACAGCTTTGCACACTCTTGGCATTCTCTCAACCAGCTTCACCTGGAATGCTTTTCCAACAGTCTTGAAGGAGTTCCCACATAAACTGAGCACTTGTTGGCTGCTTTTCCTTCACTCTGCGGTCCGACTCATCCCAAACCATCTCAATTTGGTTGAGGTCGGGGGATTGTGGAGGCCAGGTCATCTGATGCAGCACTCCATCACTCTCCTTCTTGGTAAAATAGGCCTTACACAGCCTGGAGGTGTGTTGGGTCATTGTCCTGTTGAAAAATGAATGATAGTCCCACTAAGCCCAAACCAGATGGGATGGCGTATCGCTGCAGAATGCTGTGGTAGCCATGCTGGTTAAGTGTGCCTTGAATTCTAAATAAATCACAGTGTCACCAGCAAAGCACCCCCACACCATAACACCTCCTCCTCCATGCTTTACAGTGGGAACTACACATGGAGAGATCATCCGTTCACCCACACCGTGTTTCACAAAGACACAGTGGTTAGAACAAGAAATCTCAAAATTGGACTCCAGACCAAAGTACACATTTCCACCGGTCTAATGCTCCATTGCTCATGTTTCTTGGCCCAAGCAAGTCTCTTCTTCGTATTGGTGTCCTTTAGTAGTGGTTTCTTTGTAGCAATTCGACCATGAAGGCCTGATTCACACAGTCTCCTCTGAACAGTTGATGTTGAGATGTGTCTGTTACTTGAACTCTGTGAAGCATTTATTTGGGCTGCAATTTCTGAGGCTGGTAACTCTAATGAACTTATCCTCTGCAGCAGAGGTAACTCTGGGTCTTCCATTCCTGTGGCGGTCCTCATGAGAGCCAGTTTAATCATAGTGCTTGATGGTTTTTGCGACTGCACTTGAAGAAACGTTCAAAGTTCTTGAAATGTTCTGTATTGACTGACCTTCATGTCTTAAAGTAATGATATACTGTCTTTTCTCTTTGCTTATTTGAGCTGTTCTTGCCATAATATGGACTTTTACCAAATAGGGCTATCTTATGTATACCCCCCTCCCTACCTTGTCCCAACACAACTGATTGGCTCAAATGCATTAAGAAGGAAAGAAATTCCACAAATTAACTTTTTAGAAGGTACACCTGTTAATTGAAATGCATTCCAGGTGACTACCTCATGAAGATGGTTGAGAGAATGCCAAGAGTGTGCAAAGCTGTCATCAAGGCAAAGGGTGGCTATTTGAAGAATCTCAAATATAAAATATATTTGTATTTGTTTAACACTTTTTTGGTTACTACATGATTCCATATGTGTTATTTCATAGTTGTGATGTCTTCACTATTATTCTACAATGTAGAAAATAGTACAAATAAAGAAAAACCCTTGAATGAGTAGGTGTTTCTAAAACTTTTGACCAGTAGTGTATATCAGTACAGCTCAACTTACTTTCTACACACTTTCCTTTCTTCCTTTGGATATGTCAGATAATGTTGCTGATGAAATCAAATGCACTTCAACACTTGAATTTGAAAAACTTGAAAATGTAATTGATGAGGGAGTTAAAAGAGAGCTTTTGAGGGAGATCTGGAGGGGATTTAAACACCTTACATGCAAAAACAATGTGTGAATACTTCGTCTAGCCACCTCTTTCTGTAGCTAATAAATCCACTTTTGAATCCATCCAACTTTATTATTTCCTCTTGACCCGTCACAGACAATGAAGTCCTGCAGCCAGAGCAGCTCCACCCTCTACCTTCCTTCCAGGACTACAGGACGAACAGCTCCGTGCGGGCCTACCAGACAGGCTACTTTCCTAGTGGCTGTGCCCAGGAACAGGGAATGGGAGCCGGGCGGGTGTTTGAGGTCAACCTGGGGGCGGGGCTGGATCGCCTGGGAGGGCCTTGTGATTCAGAGGAGGATCATGACAACGATCACAACAGTGATCTCTACCACTTCTGTGATGGTCCTCTCAAGCCTAAGACTGCCTACAGGTAAACAATGATATGGCCCCACACAAGCCAAACACTTTACCTGGGTTTGAATGAATTAAAATGACCATCCTAATCAAGTCTTACAGGTCATACTAACCCTTGACCTTGTCTAAGAGGGCAAAGGAAAGCAGTATATTATAGCCATTTATGCCCACCAGGGAAATACTTTTCCGGTAGAATGAGTGGTTTTTTCTACAACGTTAGAGATCTAAGTTGATACTGATGGAAGTCAATGACTGTTCTCTGGTCTCTGTGCAGAATCAGTGTCCGTGCCTTCACTCAGCTGTTTGATGAAGACCACAGAGAGTTCCCCCAACCTCTCTACACGGACACCTTCCTGTCTCTCCCCATCAGGACACAAGCAGGTGAGCTTTACCTCTGATCCTGGCCCTCTCATCCCCCTCTCCTTCCCTCTCTCTCTATTCATCTGACACTTCCTGTCTCTCCCCATCAGGACACAAGCAGGTGAAGCCACACTATATACCCCTCTACCGCTGACCCTTACCCTCTAATCTTTCTCTCTCTCTCTCTCTCTCTCTCTCTCTCTCTCTCTCTCTCTCTCTCTCTCTCTCTCTCTCTCTCTCTCTCTCTCTCTCTCTCAATTCAATTCAATTCAATTCAATTCAATTCAATAGACTTTATTGACATGACAAGTAAAATTACTTACATTGTCAAAGTATACATATAACAAAAATGGTGGGACCAACAGCAATAATAATAGTAGTAGTGGAAATGGGACTACCATTAACAGCAACTACAACAACAATATTAATGAGAATAACAATACATTAAAGCAATAGTAGTCGACCAATCTCAACATGACTGAGAAGACACATTACATGCCATGAAAGCCAAAACAAAACAGGAAATATTATTGACATTACATTACACTTTTCACTGGCTGTCCCTCAGGTTGTGGCAGGAGGACACATATTTGGCTGCCAAAATTGCACATTTTGGCTTTTCACCCAATAAATATTTGATTTTTTCTTCCTCTTTTATAATTTCAAATTCTTTGTACTGAATGATAATTTAGGGAAAGAAAGATTCTCTTAGGTCTGAGTATTTGTCACAGTGTAATAGGAAATGCAGCTCTGTCTCTACCTCTCCCCGGGGGCAGAGTGAGCACAGCCTGTCCTCTCTGGGCAGCCAGGTTTGCCTGTGACGACCGGTCTCTATAGCCAGACTGTGCTCACTGAGTCTGTACCTAGTCAGTGTTTTTCTCAGTTTTCTATCAGTCACAGTGGTCAGATAGTCTGCCACCATGTACTGTCTGTTTAGAGCCAAATAGCATTGAAGTTTACTTTGATTTTTTGTGGTGTCTTTCCAATAGGTGATATATTTTTCTTTTTGCTTTGTGATGATTTGGTTGGGCCAGATTTTCTGAGTGCTGTCCTGAGGCTCTATGAGGTTGGTTTTGGTTAGTGAACTGAGCCTCAGAACCAGCTGGCTGAGGGGACTCTTCTTGTCACGATCGTCGTTACAGGAAGCGGACCAAGGCGCAGCGTGTGATACAAACATGACTTTATTTTAATAACGAACAAACCAAAACACGACTCGTGAAGTCCAACGGTTAAACATACCGAAACGGAACAAAAACCCACAACACCCACAGGAAAACATACAGATTAAATATGGCTCCCAATCAGAGATAACGAGCCGACAGCTGACACTCGTTACCTCCGATTGGGAGTCATTGACCAAACATAGAAATAAACCCAACAGAAATACAAACATAGAAATACACCCAAACAATGAACACACCCTGGCTCAATATACAGAGTCCCGGAGCCAGAGCGGGACAGTACCCCCCCCTAAAGGCGCGGACTGCGACCGCGCCTCAACTAACCAAAACAGGGGAGGGCTGGGCGGGCATACCTCCTCTGTGGCGGTTCTGGCTCCGGCCTTGATCCCCACCTCCTCTCCAACCCCCCAAAGTACCCCTGGTCCTGTCTAGCCCCGCCGGCCGGAGCCAGACTGACGACACGCGCCCCTGGCTTGGTGCGTGGAGGACGAACGGGCCTTACCAGGCTGACGACGCGCACCACTGCCTTGGCGCGGGGAGCAGGAATGGGCCGGACCGGGCTGATGAAGCGCACCCCTGACTTGGTGCGGAGAGCGGGACCGGACCGGACAGGGCTGACGACACGCACCACAGACTTGGTGCGGGGAGCAGGATTGGGCCGGACCGGGCTGATGAAGCGCACCCCTGACTTGGTGCGGAGAGCGGGACCGGACCGGACAGGGCTGACGACACGCACCACAGACTTGGTGCGGGGAGCAGGATTGGGCCGGACAGGGCTGACGAAACGCACCACCAACTTGGTGCGTGGAGCAGGAACAGGTCGGGCAGGGCTGTCGACGCACACCGTAGACCTAGTGCGTGGAGCAGGAACAGGCCGGGCTGGGCTGGCGACGCACACCGTAGTTCTAGTGCGTGGAGCAGGAACAGGCCGGGCTGGGCTGGCGACGCACACCGTAGTTCTAGTGCGTGGAGCAGGAACAGGCCGGGCTGGGCTGGCGACGCACACCGTAGTTCTAGTGCGTGGAGCAGGAACAGGCCGGGCTGGGCTGGCGACGCACACCGTAGTTTTAGTGCGAGTGGCAGGAACAGGCCGGGCTGGGCTGGCGACGCACACCGTAGTTCTAGTGCGTGGAGCAGGAACAGGCCGGGCTGGGCTGTGGAGACGGATAGGAGACCTAGAGCGAAGAGCGGCCACCACCCGTCCTGGCTGGATGCCTACCCTCACACACTCTGCGTGAGGCATCCGCACAGGACGTACAGGGCTGTGAACCCGTACCGACATGACAGCACGCGATACGGGAGCAGGATATCCGGGACCGCGGAGAGGCACTGGAGACCTCGAGCGTAGATCCGGCACACTCCGTCCTGGCTGCATCCCCCCCTTCGCACGACACGTGCGGGGTGCTTGCACAGGACGTACAGGACTGTGCCGGACCACTCGTGGCACAGTACGCTGCTCCGCATACCGCGGAACCTGCCCCGTCCCACGCTGCCATGCCTGAGTACGGGAAGTTGGTTCCGCTCTACCTCCAGGCCTCGCCAACCTGCCTTCTGCCTCCCAACACCCGGTGACCACCTCTCCAAAACGTCCTGTAGCAGCCGCCTGCTGCCCAGCCGCCAAAGCCATGTGCCCCCCCCAAAAAACTTTTTGGGGTTGCCTCTCGTCCTTCCGACGATGGCCCTGCTGATGCCGTTGCTCCTCTCCTGCCAGGTTCTCCCCCTTCATCGCCCTCCGGTACCGGACGGCCTCCTCCTGCGTAATCTGTCCCCAGCCGAGGAGGACATCCACCAGCGTTCTCTCCTGCGGGTGTTCCTGTATACGCTGCTTGGTCCTTTTGTGGTGGGTTTTTCTGTCACGATCGTCGTTACAGGAAGCGGACCAAGGCGCAGCGTGTGATACAAACATGACTTTATTTTAATAACGAACAAACCAAAACACGACTCATGAAGTCCAACGGTTAAACATACCGAAACGGAACAAAAACCCACAACACCCACAGGAAAACATACAGATTAAATATGGCTCCCAATCAGAGATAACGAGCCGACAGCTGACACTCGTTACCTCCGATTGGGAGTCATTGACCAAACATAGAAATAAACCCAACAGAAATACAAACATAGAAATACACCCAAACAATGAACACACCCTGGCTCAATATACAGAGTCCCGGAGCCAGAGCGTGACACTTCTCTTGTTTCATCTCTTGACATAGTAGAGCTGTGTGATGGAATGTTTTGGGGTCACTTGTTTTTAGATGGTTGTAAAATTTGATGGCTCTTTTTTCTATTCGAATAAGGAGGGGGTATTGGCCCAATTCTGCTCTACATGCGTTATTTGGAGTTTTTCTTTGCACTTGCAATACAGTCTTACAAAACTCTGCATGCAGTATTTCGATTGGATGTTTGTCCCATTTGGTAAATTCAGTATTAGAGAGCGGACCCTATACTTCGCTGCCATATAGAGCAATTGGTTCTACAACTGATTGGAAAATTTTGAGCCAGATTCTAATTGGAATTTCGATTTTAATATTCCTTTTAATGGCATAGAATGCTCTTCTTGCTTTGTCTCTCAGCTCATTCACAGCCATGTGAAAACTACCTGTGTTGCTGATATTTAGTCTTAGATATGTGTAATTTTTGGTGTGTTCTAATAGAACTGTGTCCAAATAGAATTTATATTTGTCATCCTGATTTCCGGACCTTTTTTGGAATATCATTATATTCTTTTTTTTTAGATTAACGGTCAGGGCCCAGGTCTGACAGAATCTGTGCAGATGATCTAGATGCTGCTGTAACCCCTCCTTAGTGGGAGACAGTAGCACCAGGTCATCTGCGTACAGCAGACACTTGATTTCAGTGTTGTGTAGGGTGAGACCAGGTGCTGCCGATTCTTCTAATGTTTTTGACAATTCGTTAATGTAGATGTTAAATAGTGTTGGACTTATTGGGCAGCCCTGTTTCACTCCACGTCCCTGAGAGAAGAAGTCTGTTTGCTTGTTGCCGATTTTAATCGCACATTTGTTTTTAGTGTACATTGATTTAATAACATCATATGTTTTCCCTCCAATACCACTTTCTATTAGTTTGTAAAAAAGACCTTCGTGCCAAATTGAATCAAATGCTTTCTTGAAGTCTACAAAACACGAGTAGATTTTGCCTTTGTTTTGATTTACTTGTTTGTCAATTCGAGTCTGGAGGGTGTAAATGTGGTCTGTTGTACGATAATTTTTTACAAATCCAATCTGGCTTCTGCTTAGGACGTTGTGTTCATCAAGGAAATTATGTAGCCTGCTGTTTATGATACTGCAGAGAATTTTCCCCAAGTTGCTGTTAACGCAATTTCCTCTGTAATTATTTGGGTCAAATTTGTCTCCATTTTTATAAATTGGTGTGATCTCTCTCTCTCTCTCTCTCTCTCTCTCTCTCTCTCTCTCTCTCTCTCTCTCTCTCTCTCTCTCTCTCTCTCTCTCTCTCTCTCTCTCTGTCTCTCTCTCTCTCTCTCTCTCTCTCTCTCTCTCTCTCTCTCTCTCTCTCTCTCTCAATTCAATTTAATTCAATTTCAATTTAAGGGCTTTATTGGCATGGGAAACGTGTGTTAACATTGCCAAAGCAAGTGAAGTAGATAGTAAACAAAAGTGAAATAAACAATAAATATTAACAGTAAACATTACACTTAGAAGTTTCAAAAGAATAAAGACATTTCAAATGTCATATTATGTATATATACAGTGTTGTAACAATGTGCAAATAGTTAAAGTACAAATGGGAAAATAAATAAACATAAATATGGGTTGTATTTACAATGGTGTTTGTTCTTCACTGGTTGCCCTTTTCTTGTGGCAACAGGTCACAAATCTTGCAGCTGTGATGGCACACTGTGGTTTTTCACCCAGTAGATAAGGGAGTTTATCAAAATTGGGTTTGTTTTCTAATTCTTTGTGGATCGCTGTAATCTGAGGGAAATATGTGTCTCTAATATGGTCATACATTTGGCAGGAGGTTAGGAAGTGCAGCTCAGTTTCCACCTCATTTTGTGGGCAGTGTGCACATAGCCTGTCTTCTCTTGAGAGCCAGATCTGCCTACAGCGGCCTTTCTCAATAGCAAGGCTATGCTCACTGAGTCTGTACATAGTCAAAGCTTTCCTTAAGTTTGGGTCAGTCACAGTGGTCAAGTATTCTGCCACTGTGTACTCTCTGTTTAGGGCCAAATAGCATTCTAGTTTGCTCTGTTTTTTTGTTTGTTCTTTCCAATGTGTCAAGTAATTCTCTTTTTGTTTTCTCATGATTTGGTTGGGTCTAATTGTGTTGTTGTTGTTGTTGTTGTCCTGGGGCTGTGTGGGGTCTGTTTGTGTTTGTGAACAGAGCCCCAGGACCAGCTTACTTAGGGGACTCTTCTCCAAGTTCATCTCTCTGTAGGTGATGGCTTTGTTATGGAAGGTTTGGGAATCGCTTCCTTTTAAGTGGTTACAGAATTTAATGGCTCTTTTCTGGATTTTGATAATTAGCGGGTATTGGCCTAATTCTGCTCTGCATGCATTATTTGGTGTTTTACGTTGTACACGGAGGATGTTTTTGCAGAATTCTGCATGCAGAGTCTCAATTTGGTGTTTGTCCCATTTTGTGAATTCTTGGTTGGTGAGCGGACCCCAGACCTCAGAACCATAAAGGGCAATGGGTTCTATAACTAATTCAAGTATTTTTAGCCAGATCCTAATTGGAATGTCAAATTTTATGTTCCTTTTGATGGCATAGAAGGCCCTTCTTGCCTTGTCTCTCAGATCGTTCACAGCTTTGTGGAAGTTACCTGTGGCGCTGATGTTTAGGCCGAGGTATGTATAGTTTTTTGTGTGCTCTAGGGCAACGGTGTCTAGATGGAATTTGTATTTGTGGTCCTGGCAACTGGACCTTTTTTGGAACACCATTATTTTTGTCATACTGAGATTTACTGTCAGGGCCCAGGTCTGACAGTATCTGTGCAGAAGATCTAAGTGCTGCTGTAGGCCCTCCTTGGTTGGTGACAGAAGCACCAGATCATCAGCAAACAGAAGACATTTGACTTCAGATTCTAGTAGGGTGAGGCCGGGTGCTGCAGACTGTTCTAGTGCCCTCGCCAATTCGTTGATATACAGTGGGGAAAAAAACTATTTAGTCAGCCACCAATTGTGCAAGTTCTCCCACTTAAAAAGATGAGAGAGGCCTGTAATTTTCATCATAGGTACACGTCAACTATGACAGACAAATTTAGAAAAAAAAATCCAGAAAATCCCATTGTAGGATTTTTAATGAATTTATTTGCAAATTATGGTGGAAAATAAGTATTTGGTCACCTACAAACAAGCAAGATTTCTGTCTCTCACAGACCTGTAACTTCTTCTTTAAGAGGCTCCTCTGTCCTCCACTCGTTACCTGTATTAATGGCACCTGTTTGAACTTGTTATCAGTATAAAAGACACCTGTCCACAACCTCAAACAGTCACACTCCAAACTTCACAATGGCCAAAACCAAAGAGCTGTCAAAGGACACCAAAAACAAAATTGTAGACCTGCACCAGGCTGGGAAGACTGAATCTACAATAGGTAAGCAGCTTGGTTTGAAGAAATCAACTGTGGGAGCAATTATTAGGAAATGGAAGACATACAAGACCACTGATAATCTCCCTCGATCAGGGGCTCCACGCAAGATCTCACCCCGTGGGGTCAAAATGATCACAAGAACGGTGAGCAAAAATCCCAGAACCACACGGGGGGACCTAGTGAATGACCTGCAGAGAGCTGGGACCAAAGTAACAAAGCCTACCATCAGTAACACACTACGCCGCCAGGGACTCAAATCCTGCAGTGCGAGACGTGTCCCCCTGCTTAAGCCAGTACATGTCCAGGCCCGTCTGAAGTGCATTTGGATGATCCAGAAGAGGATTGGGAGAATGTCATATGGTCAGATGAAACCAAAATATAACTTTTTGGTAAAATCTCAACTCGTCATGTTTGGAGGACAAAGAATGCTGAGTTGCATCCAAAGAACACCATACCTACTGTGAAGAATGGGGTTGGAAACATCATGCTTTGGGGATGTTTTTCTGCAAAGGGACCAGGACGACTGATCCGTGTAAAGGAAAGAATGAATGGGGCCATGTATCGTGAGATTTTGAGTGAAACCCTCCTTCCATCAGCAAGGGCATTGAAGATGAAACGTGGCTGGGTCTTTCAGCATGACCATGATCCCAAACACACCACCCGGGCAACGAAGGAGTGGCTTCGTAAGAAGCATTTCAAGGTCCTGGAGTGGCCTAGCCAGTCTCCAGATCTCAACCCAATAGAAAATCTTTGGAGGGAGTTGAAAGTCTGTGTTGCCCAGCGACAGCCCCAAAACATCACTGCTCTAGAGGAGATCTGCATGGAGGAATGGGCCAAAATACCAGCAACAGTGTGTGAAAACCTTTTGAAGACTTACAGAAAACATTTGACCTGTGTCATTGCCAACAAAGGGTATATAACAAAGTATTGAGAAACTTTTGTTATTGACCAAATACTTATTTTCCACCATCATATGCCAATAAATTCATAAAAAATCCTACAATGTGATTTTCTGGATTTTTTTTTCTCATTTTGTCTGTCATAGTTGACGTGTACCTATGATGAAAATTACAGGCCTCTCTCATCTTTTTAAGTGGGAGAACTTGCACAATTGGTGGCTGACTAAATAGTTTTTTTCCCCACTGTATATGTTGAAGAGGGTGGGGCTTAAACTGCATCCCTGTCTCACCCCACGGCCCTGTGGAAAGAAATGTGTGTGTTTTTTGCCAATTTTAACCGCACACTTGTTGTTTGTGTACATGGATTTTATAATGTCGTATGTTTTTCCCCCAACCCCACATTCCATCAATTTGTATAGCAGACCCTCATGCCAAATTGAGTCAAAAGCTTTTTTGAAATCAACAAAGCATGAGAAGACTTTGCCTTTGTTTTGGTTTGTTTGTTTGTCAATTAGGGTGTGCAGGGTGAATACTTGGTCTGTTGTACGGTAATTTGGTAAAAAGCCAATTTGACATTTGCTCAGTACATTGTTTTCACTGAGGAAATGAACTAGTCTGCTGTTAATGATAATGCAGAGGATTTTCCCAAGGTTGCTGTTGACGCATATCCCACGGTAGTTATTGGGGGTCAAATTTGTCTCCACTTTTGTGGATTGGGGTGATCAGTCCTTGGTTCCAAATATTGGGGAAGATGCCAGAGCTAAGGATGATGTTAAAGAGTTTAAGTATAGCTAATTGAAATTTGTGGTCTGTATATTTTATCATTTCATTGAGGATACCATCAACACCACAGGACTTTTTGGGTTGGAGGGTTTGTATTTTGTCCTGTAGTTCATTCAATGTAATTAGGGAATCCAGTGGGTTCTGGTAGTCTTTAATAGTTGATTCTAAGATTTGCATTTGATCATGTATATTTTTTTGCTGTTTGTTCTCTGTTATAGGGCCAAAAAGATTGGAGAAGTGGTTTACCCATACATCTCCGTTTTGGATAGATAGCTCTTCGTGTTGTTGATTGTTTAGTGTTTTCCAATTTTCCCAGAAGTGGTTAGAGTCTATGGATTCTTCAATGACATTGAGCTGATTTCTGACATGCTGTTCCTTCTTTTTCCGTAGTGTATTTCTGTATTGTTTTAGTGATTCACCATAGTGAAGGCGTAGGCTCAGGTTTTCTGGGTCTCTATGTTTTTGGTTGGATAGGTTTCTCAATTTCTTTCTTAGGTTTTTGCATTCTTCATCAAACCATTTATCACTGTTATTACTTTTCTTTGGTTTTCTGTTAGATATTTTTAGATTTGATAGGGAAGCTGAGAGGTCAAATATACTGTTTAGGTTTTCTACTGCCAAGTTTACACCTTCACTATTACAGTGGAATGTTTTGTCCAGGAAGTTGTCTAGAATGGATTGAATTTGTTGTTTCCTAATTGTTTTTTGGTAGGTTTCAACACTACTTTCCTTCCATCTATAGCATTTCTTAATATTATTCAGTTCCTTTGGCTTTGATGCCTCATGATTGAGTATTGCTCTGTTCAAGTAGACTGTGATTTTGCTGTGGTCTGATAGGGGTGTCAGTGGGCTGACTGTGAACGCTCTGAGAGACTCTGGGTTGAGGTCAGTGATAAAGTAGTCTACAGTACTACTGCCAAGAGATGAGCTATAGGTGTACCTACCATAGGAGTCCCCTCGAAGCCTACCATTGACTATGTACATACCCAGTGTGCGACAGAGTTGCAGTAGTCGTGACCCGTTTTTGTTGGTTATGTTGTCGTAGTTGTGCCTAGGGAGGCATATGGGGGAGGGAATGCTGTCACCTCCAGGTAGGTGTTTGTCCCCCTGTGTGCTGAGGGTGTCAGGTTATTGTCCAGTTCTGGCATTTAGGTCGCCACAGACTAGTACATGTCCCTGGGTCTGGAAATGATTGATTTCCCCTCAGGATGGAGAAACTGTCTTCATTAAAGTATGGGGATTCTAGTGGGGGGATATAGGTAGCACACAGGAGGACATTTTTCTCAGTTGAGATAATTTCCTTTTGAATTTCTAACCAAATGTAAAATGTTCCTGTTTTGATTAATTTAACAGAGTGAGTTATGTCTGCTCTATACCAAATTAGCATACCCCCGGAGTCCCTTCCCTGTTTCACACCTGGTAGTTTGGTGGATGGGACTACCAGCTCTCTGTAACCTAGAGGGCAACCAGTGGGTCCGTCTCCTCTATACCATGTTTCTTGTAGGATGGCAATGTCTGTATTTCCGATTTCTTTGGTGAAGTCCAGATTCCTGCTCTTTAGGCCAAAGGCAGATGACCTCAGGCCTTGGATATTCCAGGATGAAATAGTGAAGGCTTTGTGTTCCATAAAGTGTCTAATGTTGTTGGTTGTGTGGTTTGGCCTCAGGCCAGTAATTGTGAGCAGAGCCTGCTGAGCATCTGGTACATGCCATTGGCTTGGGCTAGTGTAAGAGTGGGTGTTGGGCCTGTTTGCCTGCTCACGGCCTGGGCGTATGTGTGACTTTCATGTTGAGGCCCTCTTTGTGGGAGTGGGAGGCTTGGGGTGGGTAGGAGGGGCATAGGTCTGATCTGAGGGGGCCTAAATGGGGTGTGGGCATGGTTTACTTGGGGAGGAGTTAATTGGTGGGGGTAGGGGTGTAGATGTGGTTGATGGTGCTGTGGTCTGTATGTAGGTCCTCTCTGCGGGGGTCCTCTATGTGTAGGTCCTGGGGGGGGTCCCGCAGGTCTGGGAGAGTGTCTCGCTGGTCTGGGCAGGGTGTCTGTTGATCTGTTGCTCCTGTGTGAGGTGTTGGGTCTGCGGTTGAGGGCGATATCCTTTAGGGTCCGGGCGAAGGTGGGCACTGCTGCCTTGTATAGGTGGACCTGGTCATAAAGGCTGTTCACGTCCAGGGTGGAGTGGTGGGCCAGGTAGACATTTGGTTTTGATGCACAGTCAGGGGAAATACTTGCGTTTACCCACTGTATGGTAGCAGGGTGGACGTCTTTTCGTGGTAACAGGGTTGAGATAACCATTTGTGCGTTGGGGAAAGTAGAAGAAGCTTTTTCTATCACTCCCTTGAGGACTGTGGCCACCCTTTCCTGCTGTGTTCTCAGGTCGTTTGTGCCTGTGTGTATTATTATGTGGCTGGGTGATCCTAGTCGGTCCTTAGACAGAAGGTCTAGGGCGCGCTGGGTGTTTGGACACCAGAGTTTAGACACTGTGTGTTTTGGAAAAAGTTTATTTTCTTGTATGTATTTCCCGTTTGAGTCCATAAGGAGTACAATCTGTGGCTTGTGTATGTCCTCAGTGGGTGTGGGGGGGTCGTCATGAGGGCTATCAGGGTGTCTGACTGGGGGGTTGCTCAAAGGGGTTGGGATCCCCAGGGCTTGGGGTTCTTCATTTGTTTGTCTGGGTGTGATGTCGAGGCTATGGTCAGGGTCTAGGGTGTACTGTTCTGCTGCGGTGTCAAGACTTTGGCCAGGATCTGAGGTGGGCTGTTCTGCTGGCTTTTCTGCGGGGGTGGCCAGCTCTCTAATGGGTTGTTCTATGTCACCCGTCATTGTTCTCACCTTCTCCTCCAGCACTCTGATCCTCTCCTCTAGTGCTCTGTTCTTCTCCTGCTCCTGCTCTTTCTCCTGTTGATGTTGTCTCACCACAGTCCAGAGTGCAGACATGTCTCTCTCTACCTGCAGCTCTCCAGGTCTAGTTAAGGGGATGTTGTTGTGCTGGACTGTTGTCTGGGTCTGTGCTGACTGGAGTGTGTTCACCTGCTGTTCCAGCTCCACCTGCCTTACCTCCAGCTGGGTGAATTTATCCTTCATTTCAATGAGGGAGTAGTACTCTGTGCTGGGAAGTTGACTTTCTGCTTGGGGTTGCTCTGTGGGGTTATTTAATGAAGAGGTCTGGTCTGACCCGCTCGGGGGAGGGGTATCTTTCTCAAGGGAGAGCTTTCTCTGCTGAGCTATTTCTTTTGATTAGGTGAAAGTCCAGCTGGAACTGTTTGGTGTTGCCTTGAACCAAAACGGTTCCAGATTTATAGAGATTAATATTAGACGACTCAGAGTCCTCGTTTTCTCTCTCTCTCTCTCTCTCTCTCTCTCTCTCTCTCTCTCTCTCTCTCTCTCTCTCTCTCTCTCTGTCTCTCTGTTCTCTTTTCTCTCCTCTCTATCTCTCTCTCTCTCTCTCTCTCTCTCTCTCTCTCTCTCTCTCTCTCTCTCTCTCTCTCTCTCTCTCTGTCTCTCTGTCTCTCTGTCTCTCTCTCTCTCTCTCTCTTTCTCTCTCTCATCCTTCTCTCTTTCCACACCCCCCCTCTCTCTCTCTTGTTCTCCGACAAAATGTTTTTCATCTCAACAAGACAACCTGTATAATAAAATAAATCTATGACCTTCCCAACCTGTTCTAAGCCTACTGATTAAATGCTGCCACTGTACTTTAGTTCATCCATGACGCAAAATACAGTGCATTCTAAAATGGATGAAATAGTTGTTTTCCTCTAATCAATCTACACACAATGCCCTATAATGACGAAGCAAAAACAGCAACAAAAACAATTTTGCAAATATATTTTTAAAACCCCCTGGGAAATGTCACATTTACATAAGTATTCAGACCCTTTACTCAGTACTTTGTTGAAGCACCTTTGGCAGCGATTACAGCCTCGATTCTACTTGGGTATGACGGGTTTTATTACTATAGTCACTGTCACAGTAAGGGGTTTTATTACTATAGTCACTGTCACAGTAAGGGGTTTTATTACTATAGTCACTGTCACAGTAAGGGGTTTTATTACTATAGTCCACTGTCACAGTAACAGGTTTATGACTATTAGTCACTGTCACGTAAAGGGGCTTTATACTTTAGTCACTGTCAACAGTAAGGGGTTTCATTACTATAGTCACTGTCACAGTAAGGGGTTTTATACTATAGTCACTGTCACAGTAAGGGTGTCATACTATGTCGCTGTCACGTAAGGGGTTTCATACTTATAGTCACTGTCACAGTAAAGGGGTTTTCATTACTATAGTCACTGTCACAGTGAGGGGTTTTAATTAATATAGTCACTGTCACAGTAAGGGGCTTATTACTAAGTCACTGTCACAGTAAAAATGGGTTTATTACGATAGTCACTGTCACAGTAAAGGGGTTTCATTACTATAGTACTGTAACAGTAAGGGGTTTCATTTAATATAGTCACGGTCACAGTAAGAGGGTTTTATTACTATAGTCACTGTCACAGTAGGGGTTTCATTAATATAGTCACTGTCAAAGTAAGGGTTCCTTACTACTAGTCACTGTCAAGTAAGGGGCTTTTATTACTATTAGTCACTGTCACAGTAAGGGGTGTTATTACTTATAGTCAATGTCCACAGTAAGGGGTTATTACTATAGTCACTGTCACAGTAAGGGGGTTTTATTACTAGAGACACTGTCACGTAAGGGGTTTCATTCTATAGTCACTGCCACAGTAAAGGTTTTTATTACTATGTCACTGTACACAGTAAGGGGTTTTACTATAGTCACTGTCACAGTAAGGGGTTTCATTACTATAGTCACGTCACAGTAAGGGTTTATTACGTATGGTTTTAGGCTCATCTGTGCACAGTAAGCGGCTTTTATTACTATAGTCACCTGTCACAGTAAGGGGTTCATTACTATAGTCCACTGTCACAGTAAGCGGTTTCATTACTAGAGTCACGTGTCACAGTAAGGGGTTTCATTACTAAGTCACTGTCACATAAGGGGTTTTCTTACTAAGTCCACTGTCACAGTAAGGGGTTCATTACTATAGTTCACGTCACAGTAAGGGGTTTCATTACTATAGTCACTGTCACAGTTGAAGGGGCTTTTTATTACTATAGTTCACTGTCACAGTAAGGGGTTTTATACTATAGTCACTGTCACAGTTAAGGGTTTATTACATAGTCATGTCCAGTAAGGGGTTTTTACTATTAGAACCAACTGTCACAGTAAGGGGGTTTATTACTATAGTCACTGCACTAGTAAGGGGTTTTAATTACTAGTAGTCACGGTCACAGTAAGGGGTTTTATTACTATAGTCACTGTCACAGTAAGGGGTGGGTATTATTACTATAGTCAACTGTCACAGTAAGGGGTTTTATTACTATAGACACTGTCCACAGTAAGGGTTTATGACTATAGTCACTGTCAAAGTAAGGGTTTTATTACTATTAGTCACTGGTCACAGTAAGGGGTTTTATACTATAGTCACTGTCACCCAGTTAGGAAGGGGTTTTATACCTCGTCAACTTCACAGTAAGGGGTTTCATTACCTATAGTCACATGTCAAAGTAAGGGGTTTTATTACTATATTCACTGTCACAGTAAGGGGCTTTATTACTATAGTCACTGTCACAGTAAGGGGTTTCATTACTATAGTCACTGTCACAGTAAGGGGTTTCATTACTATAGTCACTGTCACGTAAGGGGTTTCATTACTATAGTCACTGTCACAGTAAGGGGTTTTTATTACTATAGTCACTGTCACAGTAAGGGGTTTCATTACTATAGTCACTGTCACAGTAAGGGGTTTCATTACTATAGTCACTGTCACAGTAGGGGCTTTATTACTATAGTCACTGTCACAGTAAGGGGTTTTATTACTATAGTCACTGTCACAGTAAGGGGTTTTATTACTATAGTCACTGTCACAGTAGGGTTTTATTACTATAGACACTGTCACAGTAAGGGGTTTTCATTACTATAGTCACTGTCACAGTAAGGGGTTTTATTACTATAGTCACTGTCACAGTAAGGGTTTCATTACTATAGTCACTGTCACAGTAAGGGGTTTCATTACTATAGTCACTGTCACAGTAAGGGGTTTTATTACTATAGTCACTGTCACAGTAAGGGGCTTTATTACTATAGTCACTGTCACAGTAAGGGGTTTCATTACTATAGTCACTGTCACAGTAAGGGGTTTCATTACTATAGTCACTGTCACAGTAAGGGGTTTCATTACTATAGTCACTGTCACAGTAAGGGGTTTTATTACTATAGTCACTGTCACAGTAAGGGGTTTCATTACTATAGTCACTGTCACAGTAAGGGGTTTCATTACTATAGTCACTGTCACAGTAAGGGGCTTTATTACTATAGTCACTGTCACAGTAAGGGGTTTTATTACTATAGTCACTGTCACAGTAAGGGGTTTTATTACTATAGTCACTGTCACAGTAAGGGGTTTTATTACTATAGACACTGTCACAGTAAGGGGTTTTATTACTATAGTCACTGTCACAGTAAGGGGTTTTATTACTATAGTCACTGTCACAGTAAGGGGTTTTATTACTATAGTCACTGTCACGTAAGGGGTTTTTTACTATAGACACTGTCCACAGTAAGGGGTTTTATTACTATAGTCACTGTCACAGTAAGGGGTTTTATTACTATAGTCACTGTCACAGTAAGGGGTTTTATTACTATAGTCACTGTCACAGTAAGGGGTTTTATTACTATAGTCACTGTCACAGTAAGGGGTTTCATTACTATAGTCACTGTCACAGTAAGGGGTTTTATTACTATATTCACTGTCACAGTAAGGGGTTTTATTACTATAGTCACTGTCACAGTAAGGGGTTTTATTACTATAGTCACTGTCACAGTGAGGGGTTTCATCCATGGGATGTTTGTGTGTTATTGTTTTCTCTCCCAGAGCCCCTAAGCGGAGTCATCGAGGGCATCAGCGCTGGAATGTTCCTCATCGGAATGTTGATCGCTGTCATCTTCCTCCTCATCTACAGGCAGAGAGTCCGTAAAGTGTGAGTATCTGTCAAGGGTTTGGGATGTTTAACCTTGCCTGAGACCTGAACACCTGCGTTACCTCCCTGGGCATCAGCCTTTAGCTCAGTTGGCTAACACCGTTTGATAAAATAACGCTGGAACTCACATGTAGATGTATATTTTCACGTGTCTTGAGCTAGTAGACGGTAAATAATGTTTCTGTTTGTTATTCATGAAGAAAGTAATCTGGCGTCTCGAACACAGTGATTAATGATCAGCATTCTCAAACTCAGTCTGCAAATGAACTCTGACCTTATTGTAGAGTCCAGAACCTACCATTTGTCACGCTAATGATTGCGTAATTATGAATGATGTATAAATGACTGAAGAATTAGTAATTTCCTGCTGGACAGACGTACTGTGGTGTATGTGTGTTGTGCATTATGCTACCCATTCAGGCAAATCTAATACCATTTTCCAAATTGGGTTAAAAAAAATAATAATATGGATTTATAGTTGAATTGATTGTATGATTGTACGCACACAGGGCGGTACAGGAGAGCCCGGTGGTGCGGATGAGCATGTGGAAGCAGGTGCCTACATCAGGGATGTACGTCGGAGTCAGAAGGTGAGACACACAGAATCCTTTTTTCCCCCCTTTTGTATACTTCCCCTTGGTGACATCATCCGCAATCATAACATTCCGTTTCCCTGCTGTGTGGATAACGTTCAGCTCTGTTGACCAATCAGACCCAGTGACTAAGCTAGCGTAGCTGGCCCTTCACAAGGTTCTTGCTGACATCAGATGTTGGATGTCTGACAATTTTCTGCAGCTCAATGATATAAAAAAATCTGAGGTTGTTGTATTTGACCCCCACCTTGCTAGAACTAAGACTGTAGATAACCTTGGTTGTAGATAACCTTGTAGATAACCATTTTGTCCACCAATGGAAAGTCTACGGCCAGAAACCTTGATGTCTTCTTTGAGCCTGACCTAAACCTCGAGCTGCATGTAAGAAAGGTTGTCTAGTCCTGCTTTTATCATCTACTGTAAGAAATACAGCTAAAGTCAAGTCTTTTATCTCAGCCACTGATTCTATTGCCTCACGCCTAGATTACTGTAACTCTTTGTATACGTGTGTCAGTCAAAAATCACTCCATCGTCTACAGTTAGTTCAAAAAGCTGCAGCTCGGTTTTTAAAAGGCGGGGATCAGGCTTACAGATTCAGTGCCTCTTTACGCCCCTGCTGAAGACACACTTCTATAAAGATGCTTTTAATGTCTGATTTCAACGTCTGATTGTAATTTTCTTGTTTCATTCTCCTTCCTCCTGTTTGTGTTTCTTTGTTAGTACTTTGATATGATTTAATTATTTTATGATGTGAAGGACTTTGTTACTTGTATTGAAAAGCACTATACAAATATTATTATTATTACACACACACTCACACACACACACACACACACACACACACACACACACACACACACACACACACTCACACAGACCTGGTTTCAAATACTATTTTAAATATCTCAATTACTTTCACATTCTGTACATTTGAAGTAAGTATTCAGATATATTTTTATTTGAAAAGAAAAGTAGTTGAATATTTTAATGCATTTTGGAAAGTAATTGAAAATGCTCAAATACACAGACTCAAATACACTCCAATGCATTTAACCCAGGTGTTTAAAAATAGTATTTGAACTAAGTATTTTGACAATACTCTCAAATACATTTGGTCGACTATTTTTATTATATTTTTACAAATAACCATCAAACATGTTTTCACTTGTTTTGGGCTGTGTATTTGAAAATACTCAAATATACAGAAAAACTAAAAGTATTTTAAATACGAAATACTGCAATACACAGTCCAGATCTGACACACACACACTACCAGTCATTATATTCCTGAATGATTGGACTGAGATGAATCAAGCTCTCAGGTCTCTTTAAATCTATGTCTGAGTACGTACTGTAGACCATCCCTCATAAAGAATCCATAAAGAGTTGTTCATTACAACTGTACGCTCTCTGAGTTGAGAAGCCCCTAGAGACACACGTGTCTTCATGCGTAATTACACTGTAGTGAAGATTATAGGGAAGACATTACTTGAGATTGAAGGAGCGGCAAACAAATACTGGAGTCACTCCACGTAACAGCAAATACTGGAGTCACTCCACGTAACAGCCAACTGCTGAAATCTCCCTCCTAGTCCTTCCAGCTAGTGACTGACAGAGAATAGAGCACACAAAGAGAGAACTGCTGAAATATACATTACTTAAAACAAGTGATGGACATGGAGATCAGAGCAAAGAGAAGGGCTAGCAGTTAATTGATTTCACATGTGATGACAGACTGAGGCCATCTCTCCTCTCTCCTCTTCTCTCCTCTCTCCTCTCTCCCCCTCTCTCCTCTTCTCTCCTCTGTCTCTCCTCTCTCCCCCTCTCTCCTCTCCTCTCCCCCTCTCTCCCCTATCCCCCTATCCCCCTCTCTCCTCTCTCCTCTTCTCTCCTCTGCTCTCCCCTTTCCCCCTCTCTCCTCTTCTCTCATCTGTTGCTCCTCTCTCCCCCTCTCTCCTCTGCTCTCCCCTTCTCTCCTCTGTCGCTCCTCTCTCCCCCTCTCTCCTCTGTCTCTCCCCTTTCCCCCTCTCTCCTCTGCTCTCCCCTTCTCTGTCTCTCCCCTATCCCCCTCTATCTTCTGCTCTCCCCTTCTCTCATCTGTCTCTCTTCTCTCCCCTCTCTCCTCTCCTCTCTCCTCTGCTCTCCTCTGCTCTCCTCTGTCTCTCCTCTCTTCCCTTCTCTCCTTTGCTCTCCCCCTCTCTCCTCTGCTCTCTTCTGCTCTCCCCTTCTCTCCTCTGTCTCTCCTCTCTTCTCCTCTCCTCTCTGATGCCATTCGATTTGTTTTGTCCATCGTCACACTCACTCACAGGGAACCTTAATCAGCATGAGTGAAGGGACAGAGAGGGACGGCACTCTCCCTATCTCTAAAAATAGATGTGTGCGTACAAGCGTGTGTGAGTGTGTACGTGCGCTCGTGTGTGTGTTCGTGTGTGTTCGTGTGTGTGCTGAAATAATGGATGCAATCATCTACTAGGTTGTTGCGGATCGATAGCAGGAAGGTGTTTAAACCACTCTGCTCTGTTGGTGGACAACCATCATTGATCCCTGGGTTTTCACTCACCAGTCAGCAGGCCTTGACACAGGGGAGGGACTACCATCACTGATCCCTGGGTTTTCACTCACCAGTCAGCAGGCCTTGACACAGGGGAGGGACTACCATAATTGATCCCTGGGTTTTCACTCACTAGTCAGCAGGCCTTGACACTGGGGAGGGACTACCATAATTGATCCCTGGGTTTTCACTCACCAGTCAGCAGGCCTTGACACAGGGGAGGGACTACCATAATTGATCCCTGGGTTTTCACTCACCAGTCAGCAGGCCTTGACACAGGGGAGGGACTACCATAATTGATCCCTGGGTTTTCACTCACCAGTCAGCAGGCCTTGACACAGGGGAGGGACTACCATAATTGATCCCTGGGTTTTCACTCACCAGTCAGCAGACCTTGACACAGGGGAGGGACTACCATAATTGATCCCTGGGTTTTCACTCACCAGTCAGCAGACCTTGACACAGGGGAGGGACTACCATAATTGATCCCTGGGTTTTCACTCACCAGTCAGCAGGCCTTGACACAGGGGAGGGACTACCATAATTGATCCCTGGGTTTTCACTCACCAGTCAGCAGACCTTGACACAGGGGAGGGACTACCATAATTGATCCCTGGGTTGTCAGTCACTACTGAGAGGGGATGGACAACACAGTGAACTCCTGTCTCCCTCAACCCACTGTCTCTAAGACACTCAGTCTCTCAACAGGTTCAGCATCAACAGACAGTATGTGTAATATCATGAACCTTCTAGGGTTGTTATAAACAATGTAATTGCATGTTCAGGTCTCTCTTGTGAAAGAGGTCTTCAGACCTCAATGGGACAACCTGGTTCAATAAAGGTTAAATTAAAATAAACAAGTAACTGTAAATTAAAGGTAATTTCTGCAGAGTGGCGTAGGGGTCTGTGAGGAAGTAACAAGATTAGTGTGCGGGGAGAGAATCGCACTATGAATCGCTGAGTCGCGATACAAAATGTGTAACAAGATAAAGGAAATCTGTTTAACGGAACTCAGCCATCTAATCTCACACTCTACTACTCTTTATTTCAGCAACCGACGCATCTCGAGGTGCGTCTACTATATTATTCATATTATCTTCTGTCTCTATAAATCCTGAATTAAATAGGATGGAAATGTAATATAACATGTAGTAAATCCTATTATCTTCCCTAAATAAATCACAATAAATACTGCACCATAAATGGTTTTTTTACATTTACATTTAAATCAGTCTCGTAAATCATTTATCTAAGATGTGTTTGTCTCCCCTCAGCCCCGTCAAAGCAGCCCATTTTGAATCCCACCTCACTAAGCTACAGGCAGACTCCAACTACCTTCTGTCAGAAGAATTTGAGGTAAAGAAAACCTTCAGAAATTATTATCTGATAAGAGATCCCCTTATCTACAAACAAATATTTATAAAGGGGTCTATAAGTAGTTTTCAAACTTTTAAGTATTAGTTTATAAATAAACTCTTTCTAAACTCGTGTGCTTTATTTGTAAGGCCTCTAGTCCACGGAGCTGGTTCACTAAATTATTCATTATCTCTATTCCCCCTCAGGATCTGAAGGATGTGGGCCGTAACCAGCCTCTGGATGCAGCCCGTCTACCAGAGAACAGGGGCAAGAACCGCTACAACAACATACTGCCCTGTGAGTAGCCTACAGAGTGGATCTAAAGATGCCATGTCGTTAATGAGAGAGAGAATTCAGAATTGAATTGAGAGAGAGAGAGAGAGAGAGAGAGAGAGAGAGAGAGAGAGAGAGAGAGAGAGAGAGAGAGAGAGAGAGAGAGAGAGAGAGAGAGAGAGAGAGAGAGAAGAGATCGAGCGATAGAGCGAAGAGAGAGAGAGAGAGAGAGAGAGAGAGAGAGAGAGCACAGCGAGTTAGATATTAGAAAGTGTGTAAAATGAGTATATCTACTGTATAGATAGGTCAGGACTATTCTACTGTGTAGACAGGTCAGGACTATTCTACTGTATAGACAGGTCAGGACTATTCTACTGTATAGACAGGTCAGGACTATTCAACTTTATAGACAGGTCAGGACTATTCTACTGTATAGATGGGTCAGGACTATTCTACTGTATAGACAGGTCAATACTATTCTACTGTATAGACAGGTCAATAGTATTCTACTGTATAGACAGGTCAGGACTATTCTACTATATAGACAGGTCAGGACTATTCTACTGTATAGACAGGTCAGGACTATTCCACTGTGTAGACAGGTCAGGACTATTCTACTGTATAGACAGGTCAGGACTATTCTACTGTGTAGACAGGCCAGGACTATTCTACTGTGTAGACAGGTCAGGACTATTCTACTGTATAGACAGGTCAGGACTATTCTACTGTATAGACAGGTCAGGACTATTCTACTGTATAGACAGGTCAGGACTATTCTACTGTATAGATAGGTCAGGACTATTCCACTGTATAGACAGGTCAGGACTATTCTGCTGTATAACAGGTCAGGACTATTCCACTGTATAGACAGGTCAGGACTATTCTACTGTATATACAGGTCAGGACTATTCTACTGTATAGACAGGTCAGGACTATTCTACTGCATAGACAGGTCAGGACTATTCTATTGTATAACATGTCAGGACTATTCCACTGTGTAGACAGGTCAGGACTATTCTACTGTATAGACAGGTCAGGACTATTCCACTGTATAGACAGGTCAGGACGATTCTACTGTATAGACAGATCAGGACTATTCCACTGTATAGACAGGTCAGGACTATTCTACTGTATAGACAGGTCAGGACTATTCTACTGTATAGACAGGTCAGGACTATTCTACTGTATAGACAGGTCAGGACTATTCTACTGTATAGACAGGTCAGGACTATTCTACTGTGTAGACAGGTCAGGACTATTCTACTGTATAGACAGGTCAGGACTATTCTACTGTATAGACAGGTCAGGACTATTCCACTGTGTCGACAGGTCAGGACTATTCTACTGTGTAGACAGGTCAGGACTATTCTACTGTATAGACAGGTCAAGACTATTCTACTGTATAGACAGGTCAGGACTATTCTACTGTATAGACAGGTCAATACTATTCTACTGTATAGACAGATCAATAGTATTCTACTGTATAGACAGGTCAGGACTATTTTACTATATAGACAGGTCAGGACTATTCTACTATATAGACAGGTCAGGACTATTCCACTGTATAGACAAGTCAGGACTATTCTACTGTATAGACAGGTTGGGACTATTCTACTGTATAGACAGGTCAGGACTATTCTACTGTATAGACAGGTCAGGACTATTCAACTGTATAGACAGGTCAGGACTATTCTACTCTATAACAGGTCGGGACTATTCTACTGTATAGACAGGTCAGGACTATTCTACTGTATAGACAGGTCAGGACTATTCCACTGTATAGACAGGTCAGGACTATTCTACTGTATAGACAGGTCAGGACTATTCTACTGTGTAGACAGGTCAGGACTATTCTACTGTATAAACAGGTCACAACTATTCATCTGTATAGACAAGTCAGGACTATTCTACTGTATAGCAAGTCGAGACTATTCTACTATATAGACAGGTCAGGACTATTCTGCTGTATGGACAGGTCAGGACTATTCTACTGTATAGACAGGTCGGGACTATTCTACTGTGTAGACAGGTCAGGACTATTCTACTGTATAGACAGGTCAGGACTATTCTATTGTATAGACAGGTCAGGACTATACTACTGTGTAGACAGGTCAGGACTATTCTACTGTGTAGACAGGTCAGGACTATTCTACTGTATAGACAGGTCAAGACTATTCTACTGTATAGACAGGTCAGGACTATTCTACTGTATAGACATGTCAGGGCTATTCTACTGCATAGACAGGTCAATACTATTCTACTGTATAGACAGGTCAATAGTATTCTACTGTATAGACAGGTCAGGACTATTCTACTATATAGACAGGTCAGGACTATTCTACTATATAGACAGGTCATGACTATTCTACTGTATAGACAGGTCAGGACTATTCCACTGTATAGACAGGTCAGGACTATTCTACTGTGTAGACAGGTCAGGACTATTCTACTGTATGGACAGGTCAGGACTATTCTACTGTATAACAGGTCAGGACTATTCTACTGTATAGACAAGTCAGGACTATTCTACTGTATAGACAGTTCGGGACTATTCTAATGTATAGACAGGTCAGGACTATTCTACTGTATAGACAGGTCAGGACTATTCTACTGTATAGACGGGTCAGGACTATTCTACTGTGTAGACGGGTCAGGACTATTCTACTGTGTAGACGGGTCAGGACTATTCTACTGTGTAGACGGGTCAGGACTATTCTACTGTATAGACAGGTCAGGACTATTCTACTTTATAGACAGGTCAGGACTATTCTACTGTATGGACAGGTCAGGACTATTCTACTGTTTAACAGGTCAGGACTATTCTACTGTGTAGACAGGTCAGGACTATTCTACTGTGTAGACAGGTCAGGACTATTCCACTGTATAGACAGGTCAAGACTATTCTACTGTATAGACAGGTCAGGACTATTCTACTGTATAGACAGGTCAGGACTATTCTACTGCATAGACAGGTCAATACTATTCTACTGTATAGACAGGTCAATAGTATTCTACTGTATAGACAGGTCAGGACTATTCTACTATATAGACAGGTCAGGACTATTCTACTGTATAGACAGGTCAGGACTATTCCACTGTATAACAGGTCAGGACTATTCTACTGTATAGACAAGTCAGGACTATTCTACTGTATAGACAGGTCAGGACTATTCTACTGTATAGACAGGTCAGGACTATTCTACTGTATAGACAGGTCAGGACTATTCTACTATATAGACAGGTCAGGACTATTCTACTGTATAGACAGGTCAGGACTATTCTACTGTATAGACAGGTCAGGACTATTCTACTGTATAGACAGGTCAGGACTATTCTACTGTATAGACAGGTCAGGACTATTCTACTGTATAGACAGGTCAGGACTATTCTACTGTATAGACAGGTCAATACTATTCTACTGTATAGACAGGTCAGGACTATTCTACTGTATAGACAGGTCAGGACTATTCTACTGTATAACAGGTCAGGACTATTCTACTGTATAGACAAGTCGGGACTATTCTACTGTATAGACAGGTCAGGACTATTCTACTGTATAGACAGGTCAGGACTATTCTACTGTATAGACAGGTCAGGACTATTCTACTGTATAGACAGGTCAGGACTATTCTACTGTATAGACAGGTCAGGACTATTCTACTGTGTAGACAGGTCAGGACTATTCTACTGTATAGACAGGTCAGGACTATTCTACTGTATAGACAGGTCAGGACTATTCTACTGTATAGACAGGTCAGGACTATTCTACTGTATAGACAGGTCAGGACTATTCTACTGTATAGACAGGTCAGGACTATTCTACTGTATAGACAGGTCAGGACTATTCTACTGTATAGACAGGTCAGGACTATTCTACTGTATAGACAGGTCAGGACTATTCTACTGTATAGACAGGTCAGGACTATTCTACTGTATAGACAGGTCAGGACTATTCTACTGTATAGACAGGTCAGGACTATTTCTACTGTGTAGACAGGTCAGGACTATTCTACTGTATAGACAGGTCAGGACTATTCTACTGTATAGACAGGTCAGGACTATTCTACTGTATAGACAGGTCAGGACTATTCTACTGTGTAGACAGGTCAGGACTATTCTACTGTATAGACAGGTCAGGACTATTCTACTGTATAGACAGGTCAGGACTATTCTACTGTATAGACAGGTCAGGACTATTCTACTGTGTTTACTGCTGCTAAGACAGGCTGTACCATTGATCTCCCTCTGACTCTGCAACTCTGTCCGATACAGTGTATACATCCCAAATAGCACCCTATTCCATATATAGTGGACTACATTTGACCAGGGCCTATATGGCTCTGAAGGAAATAAGGTGACATTTGGGATGGACGCTGTGTCTGATCTTTCTTTAGCTAAGTTAAGTTTCTGCTTTGTCGTTGTTCAATGTGTCAAATGTTGCCAATGTGGCAAAGGTTTTAACTCACCAAATAAGAAGTGTTTGTTCAAGTGATAATATAATTGGAGGTGCCTAATTGTGTAGCGGAAAAAAAGTTGCCATTCAAAAAATTAGCAAACGATGTACGTTTACAGTTGTGAATTCATTTAAAGCAGGGGGTTACTTTGTACAAGGTATTAGTGAAGCATGGCCTGTCAATCTGTGTCACTGCTCAATACAAAGTGAAGCAGCATCCTTAGTTTAGTGCATTTACATCACAACACATCTTCAATACCTCTGTGAAGATTCCAAGACTTTGCAATATTTTTTATGAGAGCTAAAGTAGCTTTGACTGAGAGCTGAAGACTTGAGTTAATGCCTAGGCTTTAGCTCAGTGGGATAACCCAGTCCGTCACATTAACAACATCTCTCTTCTGTTCTAGATGATTCCACCAGAGTGAAGCTCTCCTACCTGGAGGATGACCCCTGTTCAGACTTTATCAATGCCAGTTATATACCAGTAAGTTAAAGAGATTATCCGGTACTTCTTAAAACGTATTAGCCAGTAGTTCTGAAAGTAGCCTCACGAAAACAAAAAGTGGTCCCCGAAAATTGCGTATTACGTCACATATGCAGATATGTGCACCACGTCATTGCGCTCTCTCTCTCTCTGCTGTGTGTGCATCTCGCTAGCTTTCACTGACATGGCAAGAGGCTGAAACTCATTGGCTGGAACTCTAATTGCTAGGGGGCTGGCCCACGGGGGGGGGGGGATGTAGTAAAAATGGCGCCACACAGCTTCCAGTAAATAGTCGCTTTCAAATTAGGAATTTCGTGGCTAATTGGGGTAAAACAGTAATTCTGCTCATAGATTATGCATGAATGAACTACACATTCACACATCCAGCCCAAAGCGGAAGGTTTAAAAAATACTTAGTAGTCTTTAAATTCAGGGACATATCACACCTGATTTCTGAAAAACATATAGGACCACTGTATATCACAGGGGGCTGGTTTGGTGGGCACAGATTAGGTAGGTAGGTAGAGTAGTTACAGTGGGGAAAAAAAGTATTTAGTCAGCCACCAATTGTGCAAGTTCTCCCACTTAAAAAGATTAGAGAGGCCTGTCATTTTCATCATAGGTACACGTCAACTATGACAGACAAAATGAGAAAAGAAATCCAGAAAATCACATTGTAGGATTTTTTATGAATTTATTTGCAAATTATGGTGGAAAATAAGTATTTGGTCAATAACAAAAGTTTCTCAATAATTTGTTATATACCCTTTGTTGGCAATGACACAGGTCAAACGTTTTCTGTAAGTCTTCACAAGGTTTTCACACACTGTTGCTGGTATTTTGGCCCATTCCTCCATGCAGATCTCCTCTAGAGCAGTGATGTTTTGGGGCTGTCGCTGGGCAACACGGACTTTCAATTCCCTCCAAAGATTTTCTATGGGGTTGAGATCTGGAGACTGGCTAGGCCACTCCAGGACCTTGAAATGCTTCTTACGAAGCCACTCCTTCGTTGCCCGGGCGGTGTGTTTGGGATCATTGTCATGCTGAAAGACCCAGCCACGTTTCATCTTCAATGCCCTTGCTGATGGAAGGAGGTTTTCACTCAAAATCTCACGATACATGGCCCCATTCATTCTTTCCTTTACACGGATCAGTCGTCCTGGTCCCTTTGCAGAAAAACAGCCCCAAAGCATGATGTTTCCACATTTTACATTTACGTCATTTAGCAGACGCTCTTATCCAGAGCGACTTACATTATTTTATTTTTTTCCTACCCCCTGTGGGAATCGAACCCACAACCCTGGCGTTGCAAACGCCATGCTCTATCAACTGAGCTACATCCCTGCCGGCCATTCCCTCCCCTACCCTGGACGACGCTGGGCCAATTGGGCGCCGCCCCGTGGGTCTACCGGTCACAGCCGGCTACGACAGAGCCTGGATTCGAACCAGGATCTCTAGTGGCACAGCTAGCACTGCATTGCAGTGCCTTAGACCACTGCGCCACCCCCATGCTTCACAGTAGGTATGCTGTTCTTTGGATGCAACTCAGCATTCTTTGTCCTCCAAACACGACGAGTTGAGTTTTTACCAAAACGTTTCATCTGACCATATGACATTCTCCCAATCCTCTTCTGGATCATCCAAATGCACTCTAGCAAACTTCAGACGGGCCTGGACATGTACTGGCTTAAGCAGGGGGACACGTCTGGCACTGCAGGATTTGAGTCCCTGGCGGCGTAGTGTGTTACTGATGGTAGGCTTTGTTACTTTGGTCCCAGCTCTCTGCAGGTCATTCACTAGGTCCCCCTGTGTGGTTCTGGGATTTTTGCTCACCGTTCTTGTGATCATTTTGACCCCACGGGGTGAGATCTTGCGTGGAGCCCCAGATCAAGGGAGATTATCAGTGGTCTTGTATGTCTTCCATTTCCTAATAATTGCTCCCACAGTTGATTTCTTCAAACCAAGCTGCTTACCTATTGCAGATTCAGTCTTCCCAGCCTGGTGCAGGTCTACAATTTTGTTTCTGGTGTCCTTTGACAGCTCTTTGGTCTTGGCCATAGTGGAGTTTGGAGTGTGACTGTTTGAGGTTGTGGACAGGTGTCTTTTATACTGATAACAAGTTCAAACAGGTGCCATTAATACAGGTAACGAGTGGAGGACAGAGGAGCCTCTTAAAGAAGAAGTTACAGGTCTGTGAGAGCCAGAAATCTTGCTTGTTTGTAGGTGACCAAATACTTATTTTCCACCATAATTTGCAAATAAATTCATAAAAAATCCTACAATGTGATTTTCTGGAGAAAAAAAATCTCAATTTGTCTGTCATAGTTGACGTGTACCTATGATGCAAATTACAGGCCTCTCTCATCTTTTTAAGTGGGAGAACTTGGACAGTTGGTGGCTGACTAAATACTTTTTCCCCACTGTAAGTGACTGGTGTCATTCATTCAGTAATTGGTCTCAGTGTGAGCTCCAGGTTGGGCTGCCAGAACGGGGAACTGTAGAAACCTGCCTGATGACTCATAGAGGCTACCATTAGCACACACACACACACACACTCTCTCTCTCTCTCTCTCTCTCTCTCTCTCTCTCTCTCTCTCTCTCTCTTCTCTCTCTCTCTCTTGCTCTCTCTCTCTCTCTCTCTCTCTCTCTCTCTCTCTCTCTCTCTCTCTCTGTCTCTCTGTCTCTCTGTCTCTGTCTCTGTCTCTGTCTCTCTCTGTCTCTCTCTCTCTCTCTCTCTCTCTCTCTCTCTCTGTCTCTCTGTCTCTCTGTCTCTCTGTCTCTGTCTCTGTCTCTGTCTCTGTCTCTGTCTCTGTCTCTGTCTGTCTCTCTCTCTCTCTCTCTCTCTCTCTCTCTCTCTCTCTCTCTCTCTCTCTCTCTCTCTCTCTCTCTCTCTCTCTCTGTCTCTCTGTCTCTCTCTCTCTCTGTCTCTCTCTCTCTCTCTCTGTCTCTCTCTCTCTCTCTCTCTCTCTCTCTCTCTCTCTCTCTCTCTCTCTCCCCCTCTCTCCTAATGAGTTAGTCCCTGTGGGTTCTTTCCAGCTAGATCAGACAGAGCCGCCAGGGTGTCTAAGGGCCCCCTGTTAGACCCAGACCCTCAGCGGTCATTAGAACAGGTCAGCTGGAATGTTACAAATGACTTTTAAATGCCAGGAGTCAACGTTATTCTCTATGTGTGGCCTGGCCTTTTCTCTTCAGGTACTTTAAACACATTTCTGTCTTTGTCTCATGAGGGTATGAGACGTGGTTGTAGGTTCATATTCCAGACTGTCTTTGTCTCATGAGGGTATGAGACGTGGTTGTAGGTTCATATTCCAGACTGTTTTTGTCTCATGAGGGTATGAGACGTGGTTGTAGGTTCACATTCCAGACTGTCTTTGTCTCATGAGGGTATGAGACGTGGTTGTAGGTTCATATTCCAGACTGTCTTTGTCTCATGAGGGTATGAGACGTGGTTGTAGGTTCATATTCCAGACTGTTTTTGTCTCATGAGGGTATGAGACGTGGTTGTAGGTTCATATTCCAGACTGTTTTTGTCTCATGAGGGTATGAGACGTGGTTGTAGGTTCATATTTCAGACTGTCTTTGTCTCATGAGGGTATGAGACGTGGTTGTAGGTTCATATTCCAGACTGTTTTTGTCTCATGAGGGTATGAGACGTGGTTGTAGGTTCATATTCCAGACTGTTTTTGTCTCATGAGGGTATGAGACGTGGTTGTAGGTTCATATTCCAGACTGTTTTTGTCTCATGAGGGTATGAGACATGGTTGTAGATTCATATTTCAGCATTAGCTTGCATATGCAACACTTACTCCACAGTTAAAAGGTTTCAACTTACAAGGCCATCCCAAAATAAGGGTTTTGACATAGGCTCTGAATCTAAACAACACTTCCTGCCCCGTGATTGAATGATTGATTGACTGACTGATCCCTGTCTGTCTGTTTCAGGGAAACAACTTCCGTCGTGAATACATAGCCACCCAAGGCCCTCTCCCCGGAACCAAGGATGACTTCTGGAGGATGGTGTGGGAGCACAACGTATACAACATCGTCATGGTGACGCAGTGTGTCGAGAAGGGACGGGTGAGTTGGAGGGGGGGGACATGACGGATGTGTTTCCATGGGACTCAGATAAGTTAATTGTTCCTAAAGAACCCTGATAATGCTCAGGAATCTAAATCATCCATTACTTGACATATGGCTTGACTGGATTAGACATAAAAAGGCTGATATCATTGGACTGTACTTTGAGTGGGACATTTTGGATGGATGGATGGATGGATGGATGGATGGATGAACGAAAAAACAAACAAACAAATGAATAAATGAATGAACCATTCATTAAATAACTAAATCCCTTAATCAACCAGTCAATCAGTCAGTCAATCAATCAACCAATCAAGAGATCTATGGTCTAACCGTGGTCATTGGTGTCCCCTCCAGGTGAAGTGTGACCACTACTGGCCGGCTGACCGCGAGCCTCTGTACTATGGAGACCTGGTGGTTCAAATGCTGTCTGAGTCTGTCCTGGCTGAATGGACAATCAGGGAGTTCAAGATCAGCTCTGTGAGTCTTCTCTGTTGCTGTCACTCTGTTGAAAGCTGTAGCCCAACTGAAGAGCTTTCAGTTCACTAGGGGTACCTGTTTTTATATATAAAGCATCAGTACGAAGGCGGACGAAACTGTTAAATCCTCTAATCGGTTAAATCTACAAGGTACATTCTAGACCTGGTGTGAAGGTCCTACTTTATAAGAGGGAGATACCCTGCATTTCCTGTCCTGATATCCCTCATCCTGTGTCTCTTCAGGAGGGTCGTCCCAGCTTCCCTCGGGTGGTGAGACACTTCCACTACACGGTGTGGCCAGACCACGGGGTCCCCGAAACCACCCAGTCCCTCATCGAGTTCGTACGGACCGTCAGGGACTACATCGACAGAGCCCCCAGCACTGGAGCCACCGTTGTTCACTGCAGGTATGTGTAAGGGCCACATCGGTGTGTGTGTGTGTGTGTGTGTGTGTGTGTGTGTGTGTGTGTGTGTGTGTGTGTGTGTGTGTGTGTGTGTGTGTGTGTGTGTGTGTGTGTGTGTGTGTGTGTGTGTGTGTGTGTGTGTGTGTGTGTGTGTGTGTGTGTGTGTGTGTGTGTGTGTGTGTGTGTGTGTCAGGATGGTAGCTGTGTAGGCACACCAATTAAATGAAATACCAATATGAAATTATTTTAATATGATTTACCGCAAGTGTATTTACATGGCATGTATGGCAATGGTAAATGTTATGTAAATTACATGAATCACTCTTCTCTCTCTCTCTCTCTCTCTCTCTCTCTCTCTCTCTCTCTCTCTCTCTCTCTCTCTCTCTCTCTCTCTCTCTCTCTCTTGCTCTCTCTCTCTCTCTCTCTCTCTCTCTCTCTCTCTCTCCCTCTTTCTGTCTCTCTCTCTCTTGCTCTTTCTCTCTCGCTCTCTCTCTCTCTCGCTCTGTGTCTCTTTCTCTCTCTCTCTCTCTCTCTCTCTCTCTCTCTCTCTCTCTCTCTCTCTCTCTCTCTCTCTCTCTCTCTCTCTCTCGCTTTCTCTCCCTCCCTCCCTCAGTGCTGGAGTGGGTCGTACCGGCACGTTCATCGTTCTGGACCGGGTCCTTCAACAGCTGGACAGCATAGGAACAGTGGACGTCTACGGCTGTGTGTTCGACATCAGACTGCACCGCTCTCACATGGTGCAAACAGAGGTAACGATAGCACCGTATAAAAGTGGCAATTCATTCAACAAAACTGTTTCCAAGGGATGGTCAATTTCGATGAGTATAATGAACATCAATGTTAGCCAGTGATGCCCAGTGATAATACATAGCCAGTGATGCCCAGTGATAATACATAGCCAGTGATGCCCAGTGATAATACATAGCCAGTGATGCCCAGTGATAATAAATAGCCAGTGATGCCCAGTGTGATGCCCAGTGATAATAAATAGCCAGTGATGCCCAGTGATAATAAATAGCCAGTGATGCCCAGTGATAATACATAGCCAGTGATGCCCAGTGATAATAAATAGCCAGTGATGCCCAGTGATAATAAATAGCCAGTGATGCCCAGTGATAATAAATAGCCAGTGATGCCCAGTGATAATACATAGCCAGTGATGCCCAGTGATAATAAATAGCCAGTGATGCCCAGTGATAATACATAGCCAGTGATTCCCAGTGATGATAAATAGCCAGTGATTCCCTGTGATAATACATAGCCAGTGATGCCCAGTGATAATAAATAGCCAGTGATGCCCAGTGATAATACATAGCCAGTGATGCCCAGTGATAATAAATAGCCAGTGATGCCCAGTGATAATAAATAGCCAGTGATGACCAGTGATAATAAATGGGGATTTTCTGAAAGTCTTGTATCAGAGTAGCAGGTTTCTTCAGCAGCAGCAGAATCAAAGGGAAGGCTTCAGAAATTTGACAATACAGGCTTCATGCTTTTGATCTCCTTTGCAGTGGTAATGATAGCACAATGTTTGTGCCTGAGACATGAATACTTGCATTAGCTCCCCAAGCATAATGCCTAGGCTTTAGCTCAGTGGGATAACATAGTCTGTTGTCAAAATGGCAACGGCACAAAAAAAATGTTTCAAAAGGTTCTTATTGAGTAGTAAAGATTATGCATTATTGATGATATTGATGTGAATGCTGTTCTCCCCACAGCAGATGAACAATAGTATTGATGATATTGGTGTGAATGCTGTTCTCCCCACAGCAGATTAACAGTAGTATTGATGATATTGGTGGGAATGCTGTTCTCCCCACAGCAGATTAACAGTAGTATTGATGATATTGATGTGAATGCTGTTCTCCCCACAGCAGATTAACAGTAGTATTGATGATATTGATGTGAATGCTGTTCTCCCCACAGCAGATGAACAGTAGTATTGATGATATTGGTGGGAATGCTGTTCTCCCCACAGCAGATTAACAGTAGTATTGAGGATATTGGTGTGAATGCGTCTGTCCTCCCCACAGCAGATTAACAGTAGTATTGATGATATTGGTGTGAATGCTTCTGTCCTCCCCACAGCAGATGAACAGTAGTATTGATGATATTGGTGTGAATGCTTCTGTCCTCCCCACAGCAGATTAACAGTAGTATTGATGATATTGGTGTGAATGCTTCTGTCCTCCCCACAGCAGATTAACAGTAGTATTGATGATATTGGTGTGAATGCTTCTGTCCTCCCCACAGCAGATTAACAGTAGTATTGATGATATTGGTGTGAATGCGTCTGTCCTCCCCACAGCAGATGAACAGTAGTATTGATGATATTGGTGTGAATGCTGTTCTCCCCACAGCAGATGAACAGTAGTATTGATGATATTGGTGTGAATGCTTCTGTCCTCCCCACAGTACCAGTACTCCTTCCTCCACCAGTGTGTTCGAGACGTCCTGAGAGCCAGGAAGCTCCGTAGTGAGCATGAGAACCCTCTCTACCCCATCTATGAAAACTTCAACCCAGACTACTATCGTGGTAAGATTATACCACCATACCAAGACTATATATCCAGACTACTACCATGGTAAGACTATACCAAGACTATATATCCAGACTACTACCATGGTAAGACTATACCAAGACTATATATCCAGACTACTACCATGGTAAGACTATACCAAGACTATATATCCAGACTACTACCATGGTAAGACTATACCAAGACTATATATCCAGACTACTACCATGGTAAGACTATACCAAGACTATATATCCAGACTACTACCATGGTAAGACTATACCAAGACTATATATCCAGACTACTACCATGGTAAGACTATACCAAGACTATATATCCAGACTACTACCATGGTAAGACTATACCAAGACTATATATCCAGACTACTACCATGGTAAGACTATACCAAGACTATATATCCAGACTATAGATATAGGCCTACCCCTATAAATATAATTACTAGAACAGACAAATAAATGCTCTAGGTCTACCAATAGAATTGTAATTACAAGCACGGACAGACCGCTGTAAGTCTACCAATAGAATTACAAATGACTAGAACGGACAAAGCCAATATGGCAGCTGGTCCCCCTACCAGAGAACATTGACTTGATGGGAATGGCCCGTTCTAGTATGTTTAACTCTATGGCTTAATCACAGTCCTTTAGATAATGGCCATTTTGAGTCGCTATAACGATAATCCACTAAACCTTCTAAATGACTTCATCATACGGAATGGATTGACAATATTTGACTAACCATTATTATTTGTCTTCCTCTCTTCAGATTTTGTGTACACGGGACGTTAAAGACGGTCTGGGTTCCTCTCTTCAGATTTTGTGTACACAGGACGCTAAAGACGTCGGTTAAAAAACCCATTTTTTTGTATTCGTAAACATTTACTCCTCCCAAAATTGGGGGGTTTTCAGGGGGTTTTGGGGAACCCAATTTAAATTCCCAGTAGTATCAGATGGAACACATTTACCCTCCCAGTAGTATCAGATGGAACCACATTTGACTCCTCCCAGGTTATCAGGGAACCCCAAATTTGACTCCTCCCAGTAGTACAGTTTTGGGGAACCATTCGACTCCCCCCCGTAGTATCAAAAAATTTGGAATGGAACACATTTACTCCTCCCAGTAGTATCAGAGGAACACTTCTGACCCCTCCCAGTGTTCCCAATGGAAACCGACCCTCCCATTTTGGTATAATGGAACATTTTGACTCCCCCCATGATCAGATGGAAAAAATTTGACCCTCCAGTGTACAGAGGGAACACATTCTGACTCCTCCCAGTAGTTCAATGGAATAATTCTGATCCCCCAAGAAATATCAGAGGGAAAACACTTTTCTACCCCTCCCAGTAGCAGGGAATTGAATTTCAGGGGGAGAGAAGGATTTGTGTTTGCCCATTCCCCTCTTCAAAAAAAAATGGGCCGGGCCCGTGTCATTGTTTCTCCCACCAAATGACCCCAAACAGCAAGTAAGGCAATTTCTACAGTATTTTTAGAGTGAGATCAGCTCAACCCTCTACCCCTGCCCCCCCGAGGCAGAAGATCATATTATAGAGATAAAATGCACAGAAACATCAAATGTTCAAACGTTCTCCTCCCTGCTGGGAGTGAGTGAATTTAATAGTGTTTTTAAGCCCCACGTGGTTTCCCAAAAGTTTTTTTTGCAGAAATTATATCAACCCCCCTCCCTCCTGTAAAGCCAATACGTTTTTAGATCCCAAAACCCTTCAGAACACCTTTCTCTGATTTTTGAACGAGCGGTTCATGCCCTACAGTACTTAAAACTTAACGTGGGGGGCTTTTGGGGTTTCCCTTTATTGAATTCCCCCTCGTTTCTGTTTTTTGCTTTTCATTAAATACCTCACTCACCAACCAACAGTTTTTCCGGGGTTTCCCTTTCCCAAAAAGGGCCCTTTTGAGAAAGGGAAAAGGAGATCGGGGAGAGAGGGGTTTGGAGGCCAATCAGAGGAATTAACTGTTTCAATGGAAGTCCCGGGATAAGAGCGTTGAAAATGACTCAAATGTAAAAGTAAAGTAGATAAGTATGGATAGGCAGCCGATGTATCATTTACAGTATGTATCTTTACAGTTTTTTACAGTATGATATTTACAGTATATTTACGTAGTCTTTTACGTAAATTTTACGAGTATTTTCCACAGGACCTATGGGAGGTTGTGCATCTGGAATATGAACAAAACTTAAACTTTTTTTAAAGTATTTTCCCTAGCCTAGTATGTTCCCTAGCCAGTATTTTCCCAGTTAGTTTTTCCCTATTAGTATGTTCCCTACCCCAGAATGTTCCCTACCTTCCTAGTATGTTCCCTAGCTAAAATGTTCCTACCGTTTTTCCCCAGCCTATAATGTTCCCTAGTCTAGTTTTTCCCTACCTGTATTTCCCCAGTCTAGATGTTCCTATTAGATGTTCCCTACCCCAGATGTTCCCTAGCCTAGTAGTTCCCTAGCTAGATTTTCCCCTAC